TCATTATTAAGAAACGAAAGAAAAAAATAATAAAAATAATATAAGTAACGATAATAATAATAATATTGAAAAAAAATCATAATAAAAAATAAAAGTAATAACAATGAAAATGAAAATAATAAAAATTGAAAATAATAATAAAATAAAAAAATAATAAAAAGTAAAAATATAATAAAAAATTAATAAAACTGAAAATAATAAAGATAATATTAATAATAATAATAATAATAATAATAAAGAAAATAATAATAATAAAAGTAATAATAACAATGAAAATGATAAAAAAATAAAAGATTAATAATAAAAGTGAAAATAATAATAATAATAATAATAAGGATAAGGATAAGGATAACGAAAATAATAATCAAAGTTATAATTCTAACAATTCTAATAATAATAAAAGTATCAATAACACTAATAATAATAATCATAATAATAAAGTGAAAATAAAAAAATAATAATGACAATAATAACAATTATAAAAACAACAACAATAATAATAATAATAATAATAAAAAGTGATGGGATTATCTCACATATTAAATCCGTGCCTCTGTATTTCCAGTAAAGTCCCAGTCCGACCACAGGGACCATAACAGCCACTGAATACATGATCCAGTTTAAAAAGACAGAGAACCAGTGTTGACCTGTCTCCACATGAAGCTCTGGTGAGAACGTACACGAAGTTCACATGAAGTTTACTGATAAAACTCTTTGATTTTAGATCGACTGTTGAACATTGAAGAGTGTATTTGTAGTTTCTGACCTCGGACAGCTAACCAGCTCTCTGGAGACTCTCCTACACCCGGGATGTGACACTTGTAGAGTCCTTCATCGGCCTTTGAGACGTTATAGATGCTGATGTTTCCCACGTAGCCGCTCTCTTCTATAAAAGTGTTATTTTTATAGAAATCGGCCTGATAAGGAGATAGCGTCTCCTTGTTTATACAGCTGAGAGTCACGTCTTCTCCCTGAACCACAGGAGCAGCAGGACTCTTCAGGATCACCGAGCCGGCTGAGAAAGAAGGAAGTTTGTAAAGATCTGAGATCTAGACATGTTGAACTTTAAATGTCTTCATCTTCACCAATCATGTCTGAAAGTACCTGTGACCGTGACGTTCACGGGGTCACTCCTCGCCTCCCCGTCAGCTTCACAACAGTATTCGCCGCTGTCTACTTCGTAGGCGTTTCTGATCAAACAGGGCCCCGTCGACGTCTCCCAGTGTGGACGACATATTGTTTTGAGTCCAAAGACCTTCCTCATCACCCTCCACTCAGAAAAACCACCAAAACCGACGCAGTCGTAAGAGATCGGGTCGAACTCGAAGAACTGGAGGCTGTTTGGAACGATGAGCAAAAATACAGCACCTGAGAAAAGACGCGGAAATCAGCCGGGGTCGAATTTAACAACGTTAAAGTTTAAGGTTTTAGCAACACTAACTTTCTCGGATATTTAAAGTGTTTTATTTCCGAGCGGCTTACCCGGTTCATCGGCACAGTCACAGAGCAGATCTCTTCCACTGAGAAGCATCAGCGCGAACGTCACTGTAGGAACAAAAATAAAGTGTTTACCGTTTTTATCTGATTAAAAGAGTCTCGTGGACAGACTCGGTACTCACTGGTTTTAATGCAGAGAGTGGAAACCTCCATGTTAAGAAGCTGCTGAGTGTCTGAACGTAACCGTGAGAGACAGACGAACTCAGTAATCGATGTGTGGGAACTTCCTCTCTGCGGCCTGTTTGTGGTACGAGTTTGTTGTTCAGTTTCAAGACTTATTTAAAGAAGGACCACGAGAGAAACAAAGAAGCAGTCGGTTTATTTAACCGACTCGAACGACATTTAGAGTCAGGAGAGGAGGAGTTTGTCAAAGAGAAGAAACTTTCTCTGTCTTTATCTGACTTGTTGGATTAAACAGCGTCGTGTTTTATTTTAACAGTCGAACGTGTGTGAGGTGAACTCTGAATGTTGAGTTTTTCAGTTTTATTAAACTTCAGTCTGTAAGGCGATGGAATACAAACCTCAGAGATAACGACGATACAATAAAACCAGAAAACTGATTTTTTTTTTTTTACTCTTACCCCCAATTTCCACCGCATCCAGAATGGCTTAGAAACGGCAGTATCCACGATCGTAGCTGATCGTAACCATTCAAGTTAACGTGTCAACTTCCACCGGCTTCTTTCCACTGGGGATCACCAAATTCCGCAGCTGATCACAAGAGTTCTATTTTTTCTGGACGCTGGAGCATGCCGGATAAATTCAGCTGATCTGATTGGTTGGAAATATTCAAACTCGGTCTAATGGGGCGCGAGTAGAATCATCTACTCGCTTCATTCGCGCGAATGAAGCGAGTAAATATTATTCATTCGCGCGAATGAAGCGAGTAGATGATTGAATAATATTTACTCGCTTTATTCGCACGTTAACGGTAATCCCTGCCAGTTCAACCGGCCGGATCAAGTGATAGACTAAGATTTTTTACAATTTACCAGGTGATCCGACCTCCTCGCTCACTTTTTATTCTGTTTTTGGTAAACGAAAGAAAAGGTATCTTATAATTTGGGGCACCGACCCACTCTGCACCCTATGTGCTGATAAGTATCCGCTCAAATTGAGACATATTCAACTTCCGCCCAATTCGCGTCATTCGTGCCGTCGAAGTCGTAGGAGCGTCTGATCGCATCTTTGCAAAACTTGCTGCTGTTCCAGATCAGAGCCGTTCCAGATGTGGTGAAAATTAGGGGTAAATGTACAAAACTACGACGGAGTATTCGGGCCACATTAAGAAAAAAAAAATTGGACACTTTGAGATTAAAATCATTACTAACAGAAATAAAGTCATAATTAAGTAATTACCAACGAGAATAAAGTCAAAATAAAGTAATTTCATTTAAATAAACTTCAATATATGCAGAAATGTAATATTTTGGCACATCAGCACCACATTATCACAAGTATATTAGTAGTAGTGGTTTATTACGACACTATTCTCGTAAGTAAATACTTTATTCCAACTTAATTCTCATTAGTAATAAGTTTAGTATGACTTTATTCACGACTTTATAAGGACTTTTATTCTCATAAGTAATGATTTTCTATGACTTTATTCTCGTAAATACTTTGTTACGACTTTATTTTTGTAAGTTATCACTTTAATCAAACTTTATTCTGTAAGTAATGATTTTATTACGACTTCATTCTCGTTTGTAATGTTTAATTCTCTTAAATTAATGACTTTAATCTCTAAGTTTGAGTCTTAAGTCTTAATTTTTTCTTCTTAATGTAGCCTCAATACTCTGTCACATGAGACTGAATCTAACTACTGAAACCTACAGGGCGGAGGGGTGCATTATGGGTATTTAAGTATCATCTCACATGTTCTTCATACATGTGTGTGTTTCATTGTGTGTATTTGTTGACATTATTTAAGTGATTGTAAAATACTTATTTATTTTCATGTTCTTGAAGTTCTGCTCGTGTTCCTGCCGCAGAGTCGAGACTGTTCCTGTAACGACTCTTTATTTGGGTCAAAGTCCATCCAGAGGACTTTGGTAGAGCAGCCGGGGCGAGTCACCCAGGTACGCCACAGGTAAGCTTTTTTTTTTTTTCTTTTTAAATAAAAGGAAAAAAGTTTAAAAAAAGTTTAACTATATATTTCAAAGGGTTTAAATGAACTTAGACCTGGTTTTAACCGAGTCTTTGTGTGAGTTAGCTCTTCTTTGAGACAAACCTGAAACTCGAGTTACGAAGCCTCTTCAGTCGGGAGAAACTTAAAGAATCTTTCAGTGTCTTTGTTGGTTAATGAGTCTGTTTGGACTCGACCTCATTCAGTATTTTACATTTTTTTTATGTATTTCATCTGGAGTCCTGGTTTGTGATTTTTTTTATTTCTATCTTGTCTTATTCAGAAAAGTTTCAGGATGTTTCACAGTCGGAGTCGATGGTCCCATAAAGATCTCAGTACTTTGGTGTTTTATTACGCTGCTGTCGGTCTTCTCACCCACTGTGGAGGTAAACTTTAAACACCAACTCCTTTTTTTTATGGTTAATGATTGACGCAGGTATTCACAGTCGTGGTTATCCTTCATCTACTAACCCTGCCGACATAGAAGCATTTAAAAAATGTCATATAAAGACAGGTGCTGATCTGATTGGTCGGACATATTCAAACTAAGTCTTATGGGGCGTTTAAACCAAGCACGAGTAAATCATCTACTCGCTTAATTCGCGTGAATGAAAAATATTTACTCGCTTAATTCGCGCGAACGAAAAATATTTACTCGCTTAATTCGCGCGAACGAATGATATTTACTCGCTTAGTTCGCGCGAATGAATAAGATTTACTCGCTTAATTCGCACGAATATCAACGGTAATCCCTGCCAGTTCAACCAGCCGGATCAAGTGATAGACAAAAATTTTTTACAATTTACCAGGTAATCCGACCTCTTCGCTCACTTTTGATTCCGGTTTCAGTAATCAAAAGAAAAGGCATCATATAATTCGGGGCACCGACACACCGACACGATCAGTTTGTCTCTTCCATTTTAGATACAAGTGAACAACCGTTCATTTTCATACGTCACCTAGCAACCTTCGTGCTGATTAGTTGTGCTCAATTTGAGACATATTCAACTTCCGCCCAATTCGCATCATTCGCGCCGCCAGAGTCGTAGGAGCATCTAATCGTGTCTTTGCGTTGACTTAGCATGTAATTCATTCGCGCGAATGATTTTACTCGCGCTGGGTGTGTGGAGATAGTAACCCCCAATCTCCACCTTCATCCTGATCGTCCCCTAAAAGGTCGTATCCTCCGATCGTAGCTGATCGTAACCATTCAAGTTAACGTGTCAATTTACACCGACTTCTTTCCGTTCCTCTGCGGATCGCCGGACTCATCAGCTGATCACAAGAGTTCTATTTTTTCTGGACGCCGGAGCATGGCGGATAAATTCAGCACAGATTAACCCGTGCTGGAAAGGAAGTCGGGCACAGACACAAAATAAAACATCCGGCTTCTTTTCAAAATAAAACCACAACCTCTCACTTGTTCGGACGGAGACGAACAAGTGAGAGGTTTTTAGACGTCATTTCACCCCGATGACACCATGGATGAGGAGATGCTGATTCTAGAAGTCTAGAAGTAGATTTCCTCCTCTGGAAGGACACAATCTACTGCTTATATGGTTAGCCTCTGTTGCTAAGAGACAACTCGTTATCATATGATTGCACGTGAATTCGCAGGTTCTTACTGTTGTCTGTAATCCGCCACCAAATTCGCCTTACAAACGGATCCAGTAGGAATTGGCGGACAGTGAAAATTGCCGCTGTTCCGAACGCTGAACCGTTCGGGTTGCGGTGGAAAACCCGGGTAAGAAGGAGAAATGAAGATGTAGAAGAAGTTGTTGAAGATCTGATTTGTCTTCTCCAGGTGAGGCGGAGATGATCGGCTCTTCCACGCCTCTTCTCGCCATGGTTGGAGGTGTCGTGGTTCTGCCCTGCCACCTGAAACCACAGGCGGACATCAGCGCTCGCACTCTGGAGTGGGCTCGGCTCGACCTGAACCCCAGATTTGTCCACGTGAGACGCGACGGTGTTGATCTGCTGGTCCAGCAGAACCCGTCCTTCGTGGGTCGAACCTCATTGTGGACTGAAAAACTGCAGCGTGGAGACATGTCTCTGACTCTGTCCAAAGTGAAGCTGTCTGATGAGGGGAAGTACAGGTGTCACGTCCCAGAACTGGGAACGTCCACGGTTCAACTCAGACTGGGTAAGTCTACTTCCATATCAGGACATCATTTTTAAATTTGGAGTGGACAAAGGTCAGTTTTCAGTGTTTCCTGTTTTATTTTGTAGGAGCTGATTCCTTGTTTTCCCTCCCTTGTTAATCACCCATGAGTCTCACCTGTTGCTCGTCTGACTAAATCTATTGTTTGAGCATTGTCCTCTCCTCTTTGTGTTTAGGTGCTGCTTCCTCTCCTGTTATCGTCATAAAGAACATTTCTGATGGACAGGTGGTTCTACAGTGTGAGTCTAAAGGCTGGTATCCAGAACCTGAGGTACTGTGGATGGATTCTGATGGAAACCTCCTCCCTGCTGGACCTACAGAGACACTCAGAGGTCCTGATGGTCTCTATACCGTCAGCAGCAGAGTGACTGTGGAGAGGAAACACAAGAGCACCTTTACCTGTCGGGTCCAGCAGACAAGCATCACCCAGACCAGAGACACAGGAGTCCAGATTGAAGGTTCGTGAGGGAACTTTTGTGGAATTTAGACCTGACTCAGCAAGAAAAAAAAGACATTTATAACCATAAATGTAGGTGTACTTTTATATACATATCTATAGGTATATATACAAACAGAAGGAGACAGAGAGTGAAACATTATGAAGTTACAACAAACTGATAAATAGAAAAAACTTATATATTTTTTTCCTTAAACTGACATGTTTTCAATACTTTGAATAAACTTAAAAGTAAATAAACAATATAATTGGAATATTAAGATATATTTACAGGAAAAATAAATGATTATTAAAACTATATAACTGGATAAAAGTTAATGTTATAATCCAAACTGTATCTGAAAATAAAGTGTATCTATAATGAAGCTTACATGTCAAGGTTGAACTTGAAACTTTATCCTAAAAAGGGAAAATTTTGTTTTGCCATCAGCAGGGAAACATAAACAAACAAACAAAAAAAAAACACGAACAAAAAACTAATTAAAAAATACAAAACAAAAACAAAACAAAAAATGAAAAACAAATTAAAAACAAATAAAAAAAAAAATAAAAAACAAATAAAAATATAAAACACATTTTAAAAAATTACAAAATACAAATCAAAACAAAAAAATTCAAAACACATAAAAAACAAAGACAAAAAATGGACAACCAAAAAATTAAAAAATAGATAAATAAATAAATAAAAAACAATAAAAAACAAAAACATAACAATAAGACTCGAGACAAAATTATTCACCCAAAACAAGAAAAAATAGAGATAAACACAGACTTATTTTCAGAGTTAGACTAATAAAACAAAAAGTATGGAAAAAAGTTAAATATTGCATTAACAGTGATTGGTGGATCTTGTATTACACTTTGCTTTTTTGTGACTTTATTATTTATTTATTTTCTTATTTTGGACATCTTTTTTTTTATCTCACATGTTTATCATAAAAATATATCAATGAAAATAAAATCTCTAAATATTTTAATTTAATATCCTGTTTGTCATTTTAGATGACATCTGTGCCTCTTCCTCTCATTACGTCGCCCCCATCGTGATCCTCTCACTGGTTTGTCTGGTTCTCTTTGGGGCCGTTTTTTATCTTTGGAAACTGGGACAGAAGAAAACTGGTAAGCTTTGATTTCATTTCTTTTTGTGTGAATTTATTTATTTATTTTACTTACTTTTTTCTGTTGTCATATATGTGCTGATAAGGTTTCATTTTAGACCAAAACAATAGTAAAATATAAATTTTTAACTAAATCTATCCTGTTACTTTTTTTACTGTAAACAGATAAGATCAAAAAAGGTGAAAGAGAGCCGCTCAACGAAGAAAGTGAGAATATGAAGGATAAAGCTGAAAAAAAGTTACAGGAGAAAGAGGAAGAAAGGGACAACATACTTCATGTGATTTCAATATTAAACCATCAGAGGAATGAACTGAAGAGCTTAAAAGGAAAACTTGTATCAGAGGTAAAGGAGGTCGAGGAGGAGCGCAGGGAGAATGAGAAGAAACTTGATAAAGTAAGAAAGGGTCCCTTTGTTTGGGACAAAGACGCCAAAGAAAACTCTTTTTTAAAGACCAAAATGGACCTGGAAAAAAAAAGGACGGAGCAGATAGAATCTTTACAAAACACTGAGATTCGACTTCAGAAAATAAACAATATGATTTCTAAGATGACAGAGAGGAAAGAAAAAGTAGAAAACCAGATTAAAAAACTGTCAAATGGGAAAAATGAGCAGGAGCAGGAGGATCATCAGGAGGAGGAACATCAGGAGGAGAAGTCTGAGGAAGAGGATGAACCTCATGAACCGATGCTCAGAACTCAGACAGAGATGAACAGCAGCAGTACTGGGATCTGAGTCACAGGAGTCATTCCTTTAATGTCCAGCAGGGGGCGCACTGACATCAAGATAAACTCACTGTCGGAGTCAGTTTATGGTCAGCTTTTATATTTTTATTTTTGTGTATATAAGTTGTATTAACTGAGAGCTGTATCTAACCTGTTTTTGTTAATACGAGACTTAACAGAAGGTTTACAGTAAAATACTGTTGATGTTCGTGATTGTCAGGAAGTGTCAACTTCAACTGCTAATAAGTTTTGACTGGTCTGTGTTTTTATATCATTTTTTTCTATGTTCTTTCAAAAAAATTAAGTCAATATTCATGATTTTATTCAATCAGGTGTAGTTTTATCACCTTTTCTAGAGGATTATTAAAAATAATTGAATACTGTAAAAAACACTCTCAAACAAATTTAACATAGTTTTTCAGTTTTCATTGACGCTGTTTGAGAATTTCACTGAGGTGCCTCTTTTTTTCTGTCTTTACTGATGAGATCTATCGTCTCCTTTTTTATCATGACAATGGAAACCTGTGAGAGCAAACAACAAAATAAAGTCATGATTATTCCAAGAAATAAAAACCTGAACCTTCAATATCTGTAACATTGGAGCAAAACAACATGTAAAAATGTACGTTAAAAGAAAGTGAAAAATGTAATCGTCCTCTAGAGAGCATAATAAAAGTATAAAAAATATAATTAACATTATTTTACCAGCAATATTGATAAATAATTAACAGCTCAAGTTTCATAACTTTAAATAACTGAAATCAAAGAATTTGTTTCAAATGAAAATAAAGTTTCTAAGTCAAAAAACATGTAATAAAACCTCACCATGTGTATTCTGTCACATGGTTGATATTTAGTGATTATTTTTGGATACTGGTTGGTCTGGTTAGACGTGTTTGCCTCAGATCAAACTCAGTTTTATTGGTTCAGGTTCACCACATCGAGACACACAGCAGCTTCACACCAGGAAACGGGCAGAGCAGCTGAAACATGGTTAAGGTGCTTCACCGCAATTAAGACACAAGCTTTTCAAAATAAACTTACACGCTGAGACAGACTTTTTTTCTGCAAAGTTATTGACATTTAAAAAAAACCTCAGTGTTTTAAAAATGGTTAAAAAAATACTCTGCACTAAAGGTGACATTTTAAAAAAATATGTTTTTAGCAAACCTTAAAAAAAAGCACCCAGAGAAATGCACAAAAAGATGCGTGTAACTTTTACAAGCATATGTTCAAAACATTCACAATTTCATACATCAACCTTTAAATATAAGAAAAGAATATAGAAGTCAAAATTTAAGTCCCAATTTTTTTCAAGTTTTAAAAATAGCTGAACAGAATTTTTTACTTCATCCTGCAGTTTCTTTTTGGTTCACCATTGTTTCTGCTCTCTGGTACCTGTGAGATAAAGAAGAACTGATAAAACATCCGTCAAAAGTTTATAAAGAGTGTTTTGTTGACGACATTTAACTTTAAAAAAGGCCACAATTTCTTCAGTTGTATAAACACAGACATCAACTGAGTATCCTGAGTGTTCTGGGACATTTCATGTAAATGCCTTTTTAAATATTTTACCTATTTTTTTTAACTAGAAACAAAATTTTGTTCTTGTTTTTTTATATCATCATCATCACTTTATTTTGGACACAGAGGCGATCCAAAGAACAACAGATAAAAATGAAGAATAAAAAAACGCATATACATAAACACAGAAAAGACAGATATTCCAAATATCACATATTTACATACAAGCAATGCCTAGAGAGCCTTGAGGTGAAACTAACCGTCATCATCTAATTAGTTATTTTATCGTCATCCTTTTCTATTTAACTCAAGAATGAAAAAATTTGATTTGTCATCTGCACTTTTAGTTTTTTTTATTTTACTAAATTATATATATGTGTGTGTGTGTATATATATATGTATATGTATATATATATGTAAATATATATATGTATATAAAGTCATTTTCCATCATGAGTTGTCTCACTTGTTTTAATAATTTGATTTATTTATTTATTTAATCTAATGAAGAGCATGCACTGGTACAAAATCTACTGTAAAAATAAAATTCAAATATATTTATTTTTTCCGCCGTTTAATTAAATTTTTTCCACCTCATTCTGAAAACACAAGAGTAAAACAGTAAAAAAAAAATCTAATAAATACCTTTTTTGTTCTTCTTTCTCGGGACGTTAACATAAACTGACGTGAACTGATCAGAGTTTTCAAAAACTAGGAGAAAAAATAAGATTAAATGATTAAACTTTAAGTTGAAATAATAATCTTTACATGTTTGTGTATATATAAATGAATGCTCTGTTTTATATCATTGTCGACACTCACCTGATTCTGACCGTCTTGTCGGTACATCGGAGAGAAAACGTGTCTCTGGAAGGAAAAGGGAAATAAGAAAGAAAATTTGAGACTTTAAAGTCTGTTTCTGGAAAATAAAGACCTGATTTAGAGAGAAAACTGCGGAAGTGTTTGTTTTCACAGAATTATTTTACCTCTGGGTTTGCGATAGCGGAGTAGCGCCATCACTGATAGAAGCACAGCCACGAAAAAAACGGTGAAGAAAACAGACAAAGGTATGATGAGCTGACTGGATCCAGGTGGAGAAGAAGGAGGAGGAGTAGGAGGAGGAGTAGGAGGAGGAGGAGTTTGTTTCCCATCTTTAAAAAAAAGTTATACGCCGTTAAAATCCGTGCGAAAACAGTTGAAAGGCCTCGTGTGTTAACGTTCTCTTTCAATGATCAAAATAGTCCAGAGTCAGACTTCGTAAAGAGACGTTATCCTGACATCATCTGAGTTTGTCTGATTCGTTACCAATTTATGCGAAAATACAAATACAAGCTAGTCAGTGACAGAGGGAGGGCGTGGCTAAGCGTGGTCAGGACCACCTTTGAAATCTGATTGGCCACGCCTTACATGACTTATTTACATTTATAATATCAACAAAAATAAAACAGTTTTTGGTTCTTTAAGATAAGACGAAGAGTTGGGGTAACCCTCCTTGGTTTTGGGTTACCGCGGTAAAAGTCTGCGCCCCGGTCTGGCCGCCCAAGTTCGGCATTGCCGATGAAGCTCGGACATGCTAGCTTAGTCCCTGAGAGTGCATTAGCATGCTAACACAAGAGAACTTCGATAGGACAAACTGGACAGTCCTTGGACGTCTCACCTCTGATGATGAGCCGGCTCTCTGGTGATTCTCCAGGTCCAGAGATTCGGCACTGATACAGTCCCTCATCGGACTTCGAGACACCCTGAAGGGTCACCTTTCCTTTGTACCCGGTCTCCATGAAACCACCGTCTTTGTAGAAATCAGCTGCCAGTTTCTGGGGAGTTTGCCTCTTTCTACAACCGAGGGTGACGGTCTGTCCTTCAGTCACAGGGAGGGCGGGACTCTCGAGGATCACATCGCCAGCTGGACAACGGAAAGACATCGATATTTACCATGATGCAATGCCGATTATTGGTCCTGGTTGTTCAAGGTTAGCCAAGTCATCCGAGGAGAAACCAAATTCTGTATTTATACTGCTTATCAATTTCAGGGACGGGCACTTTGGGACAATCCAAGCCAATGACGATCTTTCACAGTGAAAGTCGAGCCGACGTCAGATAAGACAAACTCAGCGACATGGACATAAATACTCAGTTTATTATCCGTTAGGGAAACAAAACAAAGGTCTAAGTTGGGTCTTCAATCGTATCTAAGAAGGTTGTAAAAGTAAAAGGTTGTAGTTATAGACAAACTTCTTACACTCTTGATTATTTTAAATATAATTATAAAAAGTGTTTTTTTTTGTCCCTTCTGTTCTGCTGAAAATTTGCACCATTTCGTCCTCTTCGTGGACGTTCTTAGCCACTATCTTTAGCTGCTGTAAAAATATATCCAATAAATATTTTTTCGAATTTTTTTTTTGCTCAAATCTCTTCATTAACCTCAGTCCTTATCAAAAGTTTATATATTTTTTAATTATTATGGATTTTTTACCCTTTAAATTCCGATTTCAGAGGCGATGTCACTGATTTGATGAGAAAAAAAAACAAAAAAATTATTTTCAAAATAAAAAATGATCAGAGGCTGGAGATTTTTTACCTGCTATCACACCCTTGGATTTGTCAAATATTAGTAACAACATTGACTTTGATGAATTATTATTTTTGCACAACATCAGATTTTAAATTTTACACCCTTTTGTCCTCTTTGTGGACATTTTTAGCCATTACCTTTTGCTAAAGGAATAACACATCGGGTAAATATTTTTCCAATTTTTTTTGCTCAAATCTCTTTATTAACTTCAGTCCTTATCACAACTATATATTTTTTTCTTTTTGTTATGGATTTTAACCCTTTAAATGCTGATTTCAAAAGTGTTGTCACTGATTTGGTGATAAAATTTTAAATTTTACACCCTTTAGTCCTGTTCACGGACGATTTTAGCCACTAACTTTAGCTGCTGGAAAAAACAAGTCGATGTTGTTTCTAATGTTTGACATATACAAGGGTGTAAAAACACGTAAAAAATCTCCATCCTCTTATCAGTTTTTATTATAAAAATCTGTCATTTTGTGTGATTTTTTTATTGTCGCTCAAATCAGTGACACCACCTGATATTGGCATTTAAAGGGTTAAAATCTATAGTTTAAAAAAAGAAATGACAAGGACTGAGCTTAATGAAGAGAGTTGAGCAAAAAAAATTTTGAGTTTTTTTTTTTTAATCATCTGATATGTATTTAAAGCCACTGCTAAAGTCAGTGGGTAAAAACGTCCACAAACAGGAACAAAGGGTGGTAAATCTGTTCACAGTGCATTTTTGACCTTTCTAAAAATTTTGAAAAAACAAATTGAAAATTTTTTAAACGAAAATTTTCTCACCAAAAATGACATCACTCTCTTTTAAAAAAAAAAAAGTTGCAGTTTAGGTCAAAAATGTGTTTTTTTTCCTCTTCTGGACACAAAAACGTCCACGAACAGGACACAAAGGGTGGTAAATCTGTTCACAGTGCATTTTTGACCTTGTAAAAATTTTGAAAAAAAAATTTGAAAATTTTTTAAACAAAAATTTTCTCACCAAAAATGACATCACTCTCTTTTAAAAAAAAAAAAGTTGCAGTTTAGGTCAAAATTTTTGTTTTTTTTTCCTCTTCTGGACACAAAAACGTCCACGAACAGGACACAAAGGGTGAATACATGCCGGAAACAGAGATGTTGATGGCGTTGCTCCTCTCTCCTCGTCCATTTTCACACCAGTATTCTCCACTGTGGGCTTCAAAGGCGGGTTCGATGGTCAGCCATCTTTGTGCGTCCTCCCATCGAGCGGCCGTAGAAGAAGCTCCGCCCATTAACCTCCATTCAGTCGCTCCGGTTAACCCTTCGCAGTCCAATCGTAAGGATTCATACTCGAAGAACTGCAGTCTGTTCGGGTTAATACGAAGGAAAGCAGCATCTGTGAAAAGATAATACTAATATATAAAATACTGAATACTAGTTTTAACACACGTGTACGTCACATTTACTCTCTCAGCGCCCAACGACAAATGATGGAGCATCTGTGAGGGTTTGTGTTCTCCACCAGAGCAGGAGTCAATCCTGAGTTAGTCCACGAAGAGGTGAAATTACTTTAACTGTTTCTAAATAAACAAACTTCAGCTCACCGGCATTAATATGACTCTGAGAAGACAGCAGGAACAGGATTGGAACCCCTGAAGAGACAAAAGAGAGGCAAGAGTACAGAAATAAACATTTTAAATATTTTTAATAAAGTTTTCTGAAGTCCAACCAAACTGTGAAATAACCTAAATTAAGTGAACAAAAACACACATTTTAAATATTTTTAATAAAGTTTTCTGAAGTCCAACCAAACTGTGAAATAACCTAAATTAAGTGAACAAAAACACACATTTCAAATACTTTTAATAAAGTTTTCTGAATTCTAACCAAACAGTGTAAAAATTGAGTTTAGGTGTAAAGAGACAAACGTTAAAAATATTAAAATAAAGTTTTTAGAAGTCCAACCAAACAGTGGAACAACCTAAATTAAGCGTACAGAAACAATATTTAAAATATTTAAATATTCTGAAGTCTTACCAAACTGTGAAATATTTGAGTTAAAGTGTACGGAAACAAACATTTAAATATTAAAATATTAAAATATTCTAAAGTCTTACCAAACGGCAAAATAACTGAGTTTAAGTTTACAGAGGCAAAAATTTAAAATATTTAAATAAAATATTCTTAAACTCTTACCAAACTGTGAAATTACCTGATTTAAGTGTAAAGATACAAACATTTCAAATACTTTTAATAAAGTTTTCTGAAGTCTAACCAAACAGTGGTTTAACCTAAATTAAGTTTAAAGAGGCAAAGATTAAAAAATATTAAAATAAAGTATTCTCAAAGTCTCATCAAACTCTGAAATAACCTAAATTAAGCGTACAGAAACTAAAAATATATTTAAAATATTGAATAAAGTTTTCTGAAGTCTAACCAAACAGTGGAAAAACTAAGTTTAGGTGTAAAGAGACAAACGTTAAAAATATTAAAATAAAGTTTTTAGAACGCCAACCAAACAGTGAAATAACCTAAATTAAGCGTACAGAAACAAACATTTAAAATATTAAAATATTCAGAAGTCTTAACAAACTGTGAAATAATTGAATTAAAGTGTAGTTTTGTAGTTTTCAGTACTCACAGAGTCGTGGGTACAGATCGGAGACCCCCATGATGTCTCGCAGCTGCAGGTGTGTTAAAGTGAACAGAGGTCCGGCGTCTCATCGTACGTGACTCTGTGGTCACTCTCCTTCCTGTTTAGAGCAGATGCTGCAGCAGACTAAGACTCACAGACGTTATTTTCAGACTTCTATCTTAACTACTGCACTTAAAAATAAAAACTTTTAATCATATCGTCATTGTCGCCTCGAGAGATCGTGTGAATGATTAAACCTGGTGATCAGAGCGACGTCCTGAAGACTGAAACTTCAAACAGACGGACTTTGACCCTGACTGCAGGAAAGCATCACATTTGAAGCTAGAAATGATCTCCAGAGAGGAAAACAAGAAAATAAGACACCGGACAATGAAAACAAGGGGCTTAAGGGTGACAGTGAGTGACAGAAAGGGGGCAGCAGAGAGCAACAGGAGAGAAGTTGAAGAAGAGCTGGAGAAGATTCAGAGGAAACTTTCTGAGCGGAGACAGAAAACATGAACCTTTAAAATCAGAATCAGCTGATTTGTTCTTATTGATGAAATCAGAGGTTTACATTTGTGATTTATTGATAAGACTGAATGTCAACTCCACTCATGAATGTAAAGATCATTTTGTCGTCGTTTTCTTCCGCTCCATCTTTGTCCTGGTCGCGGGGGCAGCAGCTTCAGCAGGGAAGTCCAGACGGCCCTCACCCCGGTCACTTCCACCAGCTCCTCCTCCGGGGGGATTCCCAGGCGCTACCAGGCCGGGATCCCTCCACCTGGTCCTGGGCCGGCCACGAGGTCTCCTCCTGGTGGGACATGTCTGGAACTCCTCTAACAGGAGGCGTCCAGAGGGCGTCCTAACCAGATGCCCGAGCCACCTCAGCTGACTCCTCTGGACGTGGAGGAGCAGCGGTTCTACTCTGAGCGCCTCCTGAGTGTCCGAGCTCCTTACCCTATCTCTAAGGCTGAGCCCGGACACCCTGAGGAGGAAACCCATTTCAGCTGCTTGTATCTGCGATCTTGTTCTTTCGCTTCATGACCATAGGTGAGGATCGGCACGTAGATCGACCGGTAAATCCAGAGTCTCTCCTTACGGCTCAGCTCTTTCTTCACCACGACTGATCGGTTAAGCGTCCGCATCACTGCTGACGCCGCTCCGATCCGCCAGTCGATCTCTCGCTCCATCCTACCCTCACTCGTGAACAAGATTCCGAGATACTTGAACTCCTCCACTTGAGGCAGGACCTCCCCTCTGACCTGGAGAAGACAATCTACCTTTTTCCGACTGAGGACCATGACCACGGACTTGGAGGTGCTGATTCGCATCCCAGCCGCTTCACATTTGACCGCGAACCGCCCCAGCAAGAGCTGAAGGTCACTGCTTGACGAAGCTAGAAGAACCACATCATCCGCAAAAAGCAGCAACGCGATCCTCTGCCTGCCGAACTGGACACCCTCCATCCCCCGACTGCACCTAGAAATTCAGGTTCTGAACAGAACCAGTGACAAAGGGCGGCCCTGGCGGAATCCAACTCTCACTGGAAACAAGTCCGACTTACGGCCGGCTACACGGACCGAGCTCATGCTCCTCGGTTATGGAAACTGGCTGTTCTAATATTCAAGTTAATCTGTAACTATAAAGCAGCTCAACTCAAACAGAAACCGACCATCAGTGCGGTTCAACCGTCACGCTCTGACTAACCACCATCACCGGGACTACACAGAGATGCATGATGGGAGAATTCCAGGATCAGGAGTTGAGTAAAACCGACTCAGCACAAAGAGTCGGGAAGATGTATGTTCAAGATGATCCCACAAGAGGGTTCAATGAGGTTCAGGTCAGGACTGCTGGGTCTGGAGGGGGTCTCTGATGGACCTGCTCTATGGGGGGTGAGCTGTCATGGTTGATTCTGGTTGTCGTAGTCGTCTCCTGTTTTTGGTATGTTTGTTATCTCAGATGTTTATTTTGGTCAGGATCGGTTCTTGTTGGACCCTCTCGGACAGTCGGACCTGCAGGTTTGCACTCAGGACCATGTGGGTTTGGATTCGTATCGTCTTGGACTAATATTTAAACTTGATGACCTGAAACTGTGAACATGTGAGACGAACACGTGAAGGAGGTAAACATTTGATCACGCCGCTGTAAAAAAGTGTTTTAGGACTTTTATTTCACTTTGGTTCAGCAGGTTTGATCGTCTGAATTATTTCAAGTTTTTTCAGGCTTTCCTGGAAAAATAATCAAAACTTTCCAGGATTTCCAGGACGGGTTTGGAAACAGTCAAAAATGTTCTTCATGTGTCCGTTTGTTTGTTTTCTCCTCGCTCTGTTCTTCTTCGTCGACTTCTTGTCCTTTTTCTTGGAGGTTTCAGAGAGAGGCGACAAGGGGGCGGAGTCCTCCCAGAGAGGGGCGGGGTTTAGATGAGGAGGGGCGGTGCTTGAAGAGAGAGGCGGTTCCTTTGACGAATCAGAGAGGAGGAAAGGTTTGTTCAGACAATCATCGAACCTTTGCTGATTTCTGATCATTTTGTTTGATTGGACTCTCGCCTGCCCTGATTGGTCGAGGATTCAGGTGTTCAGGTGTGTTGACGCTCCGCCCTGAGGTGTGTGTGTTCAGGTGTGTGTATAGTGTGTGTGTTCAGGTGTGTGTGGGTGTGTGTGTGTATGTGTGTGTGTGTGTGTGATCAGGTGTGTGTTCAGGTGTGTGTGTTCAGGTGTGTTCAGGTGTATGTGTTCAGGTGTGTGTGTGTGTGTGTGTGTGTTCGGATGTGTGTGTTCAGGTGTGTGTATAGTGTGTGTGTTCAGGTGTGTGTATAGTGTGTGTGTTCAGGTGTGAGTGTGTGTGTGTGTGTGTTCAGGTGTGTGTGTTCAGGTGTGTTCAGGTGTGTGTATAGTGTGTATGTGTGTGTTCAGGTGTGTGTATAGTGTGTGTGTTCCTGCAGCAGAGTCTGAACCTCCTCCTCCCTGATGAGCGCCTGACGGAGTTCCTCACACACACGCTGGAAACGCTGGACAGGGACCTGAACACACACACACACACACACACACACACACACACACACACACACACACACACACATTCATCATCACAGGTGTGTTTTGCAGTATGTGTGTGTTCAGGTGTGTGTTATGGTGTGTGTGTGTGTGTATGTGTGTGTGTTCAAGTGGGTAGAAGTGTGTGTATGTTTAGTGTGTGTACAGGTGTGTTCAGGTGTGTGTTTTATCAAGTGTGTGTTTTCAGGTGTGTCTGTTCAGGTGTGTGAATCTGTGTGTGTGTGTATTTCCAGGTGTGTATTTTATCAGGTGTGTAGAAGTGTGTGTATGTTTAGTGTGTGTACAGGTGTGTTCAGGTGTGTGTGTTTGTGTGTGTGTGTGTTCAGGTGTGTGTTTTATCAGGTGTGTATTTTCAGGTGTGTGTGTATTTTCAGATGTGTGTGTTGTGTGTGTGTGTGTGTGTGTGTGTGTATTTCCAGGTGTGTATTTTATCAGGTGTGTGTATTCAGGTGTGTACAAGTGCGTGTGTATCTTTGTGTGTGTGTATTTCCAGGTGTGTATTTTATCAGGTGTGTGTATTCAGGTGTGTACAAGTACGTGTGTATCTTTGTGTGTGTGTATTTCCAGGTGTGTATTTTATCAGGTGTGTTTATTCAGGTGTGTACAAGTACGTGTGTATCTTTGTGTGTGTGTGTGTGTTCAGGTGTGTAGAAGTGTGTGTATGTTTAGTGTGTGTACAGGTGTGTTCAGGTGTTCGTTCAGGTATGCATGTGTGTGTTTGTGTGTGTGTTCAGGTGTGTGAATTCAGGTGTGTACAAGTGCGTGTGTATCTTTGTGTGTGTGTATTTCCTGACCGTCCCGCACGTCTTCTTCTCCCGCCTCATTCCTCTCTTCAGATTGGTCACCTCCAGCCTCAGGCTCCGCCTCTCAACCTCGGCCGAGTGCAGCTGTTGGGTGAAGAGCAGGAAGTGCTGCTGGAGGGTGGCGACCAGGGCCTAACGTGAGGTCACACACACAGAGGTCAAAGGTCAGCTGACACTAAGCTGACTCAGCGTTTTAAAAACGTCGGTAAAGATCTCGAACCTTCCCGTCGCTCCTCGCAGTCGTCTTTTTGTCCACGCTGATTTTTAACGAGCTCTCCTCTGAATCTGATTGGTCGAGGAGGTGATCCAGGAGGCGGGACAAAGTAGACTGAGCTGCTGACATCATGCCTAAAGGGACGGGGCCTTCACAGTCACAATAGAGACATGAAACATGTAGAAGCAGATCTATGTGTGTTTGTCGTTACCTGAGTGTGTTAGCGCCTCCTGCAGGTCAGTGGAACACGATAGAATGATGGCAGAGAGACGATCGGAGCGAAGCCGGCGAGAAAGAAAGACGACGTCGGGGCCTAGAACACACAACTGAACATCAACACACACCTGAACACACACACACCTGAATACACACACACCTGAACAAACACACACCTGAATACACACACACACACCTGAACCGAACACACACCTGAACACATCTTACCACACATACACACATACAGAAACTTGAACACATACATCTGAAAACACACACACACACACACACACTTGAACACACACCCGAACAAACACCTGAACACACACACCTATTCAAATTACTTTAAGTTTTTTATGTTTAAATATTTTAAATATTTTTTAATATTTTTAATATTTTAAAAATATTTTTAAATATTTTTATAAATATTTTTATATTATTATTTTATATTTATATTTTATATTTTATATTTTTAAATATTTTTAAATATTTTTGATATTTTTAAAATATTTTTTTATTGCTTTATTTTGATTGACAGCTCGTCTTGTTTCCTGTCTCTCTCTTCAGATCATGTGACTCAGGTGAGACTCACCTGTCCGTCACACCTGTCTCCTCCTCACCTGAGTTTGGTTCTTCCTGACCCTCCTCTGCTCCCGTACTCGTCTCTCCACAGACGCACACTGAAGCCCCGCCTCCTCTCTCCACTTGTAACAACACTGTCGTCTGATTGGCCAGCACACACCACCTCCTGACCGCCAGCACCGCCCACACGCTCTTCCTCCAGCGCCTCACCGCCGTCCTTCTTCTTCTTCTCTTCTCCTCCTCTTCACCGTCCTCCCCTCCTAAAGCTCCCGCCAGCCTCCTCACCTCCTCCTCTAGCTCCTCCCTCTCCGCCAGACGCCGGCTCAGGAGCGCTTTCTGTGAGCGGAGGGTTAGTAGGCGGCGGTGGGTGTGTTTGAGCGCCCCCCCCAGCAGGGCGCAGGCCGACAGGAAGGAGGAGGACTCCTTAGTGCGGCGGGAGAGGTCAGAGGTCAGGGAGGAGAGGCGGAGCTTCAGGGAGGAAGCGTGGTCTCGGAGGGAGTCGCAGTGGGAACGACAGAGCTGAGAGAGAGAGAGAGAGAGAGAGAGAGAGAGAGAGGGAGGAGAACATTTATCATTATTATTATTATTTAATTGTTACTATTATAAATATTATTAGTATTGTATTTTTATAATAATAATAATAATAATAATAATAATAATAATAATAAATTAATTATAACTACAATAATTATTGTTTTATTATTATCAGTAGTAGTAGTAGTAGTATTATTAATATCAATATTATAAATATCATAATAATAATAATAATTGTTATTATTATTAGTATTATTATATTCTTATAATAATACTAATAAAAATAATGATGGTTGAATAATAATTGTAATCATTTTTATTAGTAGTAGTAGTAGTAGTAATGATAGTAGTTGAATTTTTGTATTCTTACTCCTATTTTTATAACAATAATCAGAATAATAATAATAATAACTATAAATGTTATTATTATTATTATTATTATTGCATTTTTTATTGTTATTTTAAGAAAACACTAATTATAATAATTTAAATGACAATAATAACAATAATAATTATCATCATTATTATTTAGTTATTATTATTGTTTCCTTATTCTTATTAAAATAGTAATAATATTTATAAGTAGTATTATGATTAATATTTTATATTATAAATTATTATAATAGTATTGTTATTCTTTTAAAAATAACAATAATAATAATAACAATAATAATTATAATATTGATAAAAATAATATCAATTATTTTTTTATTCTCATTCTTATTAATTTTAATTAATATTATTTATTTTACTATAATTATTTTGGTTATGAATGTCATTATTATTGTTTTTATTTTTGCATTATTATCATTATTAATATTATTATGTTATTATTACTATTATTATTACTATTATTATTATTATTATTATTATTATTATTATTATTATGTTATTATTTTTGCATTAGGATACTGTAGTAACAATCAGGCCAATAAAGTTGATCAAAATTAAAAATTAAAGTTGAGAGAAAGTGACTTTAAAACTTCTTCCTGCTGACTCAGCAGATCAGATCTTAGAGCACACCTGAGAGACCTGAACCTGTGTGTGTGTGTGTGTGTGTGTGTGTGTGTGTGTGTGTGTGTTGTGTGTGTGTGTGTGTGTGTGTGTGTGTGTGTGTGTGTTACCTGTTACCTGCAGCTCTGTGACAGTCTGCGTGTGTCGGTGGCTCCACGCCTCCTCCCTCCTCCTCACGCTCTCCTCCAGACGTGACAACACACACTCCTGACTGCGCTGCAGCTCACGCACACACACACTCTTCTTCTGACACGCTCTCTGCAGGTGGGCGATCTACGGAGAGAGAGAGAGAGAGAGAGAGAGAGAGAGAGAGAGAGAGAGGATTAACCCTGAGGTGAGAGCGCCCTCTGCTGGTCGTTTGATCTTTTTACCGCCTCACCTTGTCTTTGGCCTCCCGGAGGTCAGAGGTCAGCTGGTCGACCTGTTCGGAGATGACATCACACAGCTCCACCCAGGTGAAGTTACCCAGGATGCTTTGGGGTTGATCCAGGAGGACGCAGCCGGCGAGGAGGCGCTGATAGAGGCGATACAGGAAGGAGAGCCGCGCCTGACGAACGCACGCACAGATTCATGAGTTTGATACTTTGTGAGGACAAGAAAAAGTAGAAGAAGAAGAAGACGACGACCACGAATCCTTCACCTTTGACTCCTCCTGATGGCGCTCCATCATCTGCTGGACTTCTGCCCTCCTCTCCTCCTTCTCTCCCTCCCTCTCTCTCTCCCTCTCCTCCCTCTCTTTCTCCAGCTCGGCCTGCAGACCGCGGCTCTTTATCGACCAATCGGAGCTCTCCCGTTGAAGCCGCGTCACTTCCTCCTCCAGTCTCACAGACTTCCTGCGTGACTCCTGAAGGAGAGATTTGAACGTTTTAAAATCAACACTTTTTTGAATGAGGTTTGGTGGAGAGTCTGAGGGTCACCTCCATCTGTCTGCTCTGATCCGAGGTCAGCTGTCGGAGGGTCCGCTTCTCCTCCTGGAGTCTCTCTGACGCTAACCGCAGATCCTGGACCTGCAGCGCGCACACACACACACACACACACACACACACTGTTCAGTCTCCTCTGCGCAGTCATGTGATCATGTCTTCTGTCTTCACAGGTGTGTTTACCTGTTTCTCTGCTGTTTCCAGTCGGCTCAGTGTCGTTTTCAGCAGCTCCATCACCTCGGCTGAAGGACTCAGGTTCCCATCATGCTTTGCTGGAGGACTCTCACCTGCTCCGACACAGACAGGCTTCATTAACCTCCTGAAAGTGTGGCGTTCATCATCTTCAGGTGTGTGTGTGTGTGTGTGTGGAGTGTTTACCTGTCCTGTTGTGCTGTTTCAGAGATTCCCTGATGTGTCTCAGAAAGTTCACGGACGACTCCTCAGAGTCGAACACACGCTGAGACACCTGAACACAGACGAAGAAGAAGAGGAGGAAGAAGACGAAGAAGAAACAAAGATTAAAGGACCAGTTCAAAAAATCATGAGCCGTTCATCTGAGGGGAGGTCATGTGATTGATTCGTTCAGAGTGTTTGATTCGTTCAGTGTGTGTTTGATTCGTTCACCTGTACAGAGTGTTTGATTCGTTCAGAGTGTGTTTGATTCATTCAGAGTGTTTGATTCGTTCAGAGTGTTTGATTCGTTCAGTATGTTTGATTTGTTCAGAGTGTTTGATTCGTTCAGAGTGTGTTTGATTCATTCAGAGTGTTTGATTCATTCAGTGTGTTTGATTCGTTCAGAGTGTGTTTGATTTGTTCAGTATGTTTGATTTGTTCAGAGTGTTTGATTCGTTCAGAGTGTTTGATTCGTTCAGTGTGTTTGATTTGTTCAGTGTGTTTGATTCATTCAGTGTGTTTGATTCGTTCAGAGTGTGTTTGATTCGTTCAGAGTGTGTTTGATTAAATCAGAGTGTTTGATTTGTTCAGTATGTTTGATTTTTTCAGAGTGTTTGATTCGTTCAGTGTGTTTGATTCGTTCAGTGTGTGTTTGATTGGTTCAGTGTGTTTGATTCGTTCAGTGTGTTTGATTCGTTCAGAGTGTGTTTGATTCGTTCAGAGTGTGTTTGATTCATTCAGTGTGTTTGATTCGTTCACCTGTAGAGAGTGTTTGATTCGTTCAGAGTGTGTTTGATTCGTTCAGTGTTTGATTCGTTCAGTGTGTTTGATTCATTCAGAGTGTTTGATTCGTTCAGTGTGTTTGATTCGTTCAGTGTTTGAATCGTTCAGTGTGTGTTTGATTCGTTCAGAGTGTGTTTGATTCGTTCAGTGTGTTCGATTCGTTCAGAGTGATTTGTTCAGAGTTTGATTTGTTCAGAGTGTGTTTGATTTGTTCAGAGTGTGTTTGATTCGTTCAGTGTGTTCGATTCGTTCAGAGTGATTTGTTCAGAGTGAGTTTGATTCGTTCAGAGTGAGTTTGATTCGTTCAGAGTGTTTGATTTGTTCAGAGTGTTTGATTCGTTCAGAGTGTGTTTGATTCGTTCAGAGTGAGTTTGATTCGTTCAGAGTGTGTTTGATTCGTTCAGTATGTTCGATTCGTTCAGAGTGATTTGTTCAGAGTGAGTTTGATTCGTTCAGAGAGTGTTTGATTCGTTCAGAGTGAGTTTGATTCGTTCAGAGTGTGTTTGATTCGTTCAGTGTGTTCGATTCGTTCAGAGTGATTTGTTCAGAGTTTGATTCGTTCAGAGTGAGTTTGATTCGTTCAGAGTGTGTTTGATCTGAAGAGAGTCCTTCTGAGTTTTTCACAGGTAAATGTGTGTGTATGAATGTGTGTGTGTGTTTTGTGTGTGTTTGTGTGTGTTACCTGCTCCAGTTGTGTCTTCGTGTTGATGTGCTGCTTCTTCTCCTCCTCCAGACTCTCCCTGAGGTCAGAGGTCACCTTCCTCTCCGTTTCCAAGGTAACGTGTAGTTCAGACTCCCTCTGCTCGAACTCCTTCTGTGAACTACAAAGATCACAAACGTCAGGTCTGAGTCTGTTTTAATGAAGAACAGGACGACGGCTGCACTTCACCGATTGACCACAGGGGGCGCTGTTTCCTGTCGTTCAGATTAACCACCTTTAACCACGGTTCAAACACTCGGGTACACACTCACCGCTCCAGAGCGCGCTCAGTGCTGCCCCTCCTCTCTCTCTCCGCGCTGTAAGCTCTCTCGACCTCTCTGAACTGAACTCTCAGCAGCTCCAGGGTCGACTGCGCCTCCTGCTGGCCGGACCGCTCCGCCGCCACGGCTGCCTCCAAGTCTCGCACCCTTAGCTGACGGGTCACATGATCAAAGTGAAGAAACAACCGTCACAACATACAGTGTGTGTGTGTGTGCATGTGTCTGTGGGTGTGTGTGTGAGTGTGTGTGTGAGTGTGTGTGTGTGTGTGTGTGTTACCTGGATGAGCTGAGAGTTGAACTTAGACTCCAGGTGAGCGACTCGCTCCGCCTCCATGTTTGACTCCAAAGACTTGAACCGTTCGTCTGAAAACTAAAAAGAAAGGAAACGACTCTTTACCTCCTTTTTCTTCATCCTACACTCCTTCTTTGTCTCCTTCCTCACCTCCTTCTTCTCTATCCTACACTCCTTCTTTGTCTCCTTACTCCCCTCCTTCTTCTCTATCCTACACTCCTTCTTTGTCTCCTTACTCACCTCCTTCTTCTCTATCCTACACTCCTTCTTTGTCTCCTTACTCACCTCCTTCTCGTCTGTCCTACACTCCTTCTTTGTCTCCTTACTCACCTCCTTCTTCTCTATCCTACACTCCTTCTTTGTCTCCTTACTCCCCTCCTTCTTCTCTATCCTACACTCCTTCTTTGTCTCCTTACTCACCTCCTTCTTCTCTATCCTACACTCCTTCTTTGTCTCCTTACTCACCTCCTTCTCGTCTGTCCTACACTCCTTCTTTGTCTCCTTACTCACCTCCTTCTCGTCTGTCCTACACTCCTTCTTTGTCTCCTTACTCACCTCCTTCTTCTCTATCCTACACTCCTTCTTTGTCTCCTTACTCCCCTCCTTCTTCTCTATCCTACACTCCTTCTTTGTCTCCTTACTCACCTCCTTCTTCTCTATCCTACACTCCTTCTTTGTCTCCTTACTCACCTCCTTCTTGTCTGTCCTACACTCCTTCTTTGTCTCCTTACTCACCTCCTTCTCGTCTGTCCTACACTCCTTCTTTGTCTCCTTACTCACCTCCTTCTTCTCTATCCTACACTCCTTCTTTGTCTCCTTACTCACCTCCTTCTCGTCTGTCCTACACTCCTTCTTTGTCTCCTTCCTTACCTCCTTCTGCTCTGTCCTACACTCCTTCTTTGTCTCCTTACTCACCTCCTTCTTCTCTATCCTACACTCCTTTTTTGTCTCCTTACTCACCTCCTGTTTCTCTATCCTACACCCCTTCCTTGTCTCCTTCCTCACCTCCTTTTCTCTATCCTACACTCCTTCTTTGTCTCCTTACTCACCTCCTTCTTCTCTATCCTACACTCCTTCTTTGTCTCCTGCCTCACCTCCTTTTTATTTATCCTACACTCCTTCTTTGTCTCCTTCCTCACCTCCTTCTCCCCTATCTTACACACCCTCCTTGTCTCCTTCTTTGTCTCCTTACTCACCTCCTTCTTTTCTATCCTACACCCCTTCCTTGTCTCCTTCCTCACCTCCTTTTCTCTATCCTACACTCCTTCTTTGTCTCCTTCCTCACCTCCTTCTCACCTATCTGACACACCCTCCTTGTCTCCTTTTTTGCTTCCTTCCTCACCTCCTTCTCCTTCCTGCTCCTCTCCTCTCTCTCCTTCAGGTCTTTCATCTCCTCAGCTTGTCGTCTGATGACCTCCTCCTCCTTCTCTTTCTCCTTCAGCGCCTCCATGATCCTCCTCTCAGACTCCTCCAGAGCCTCCTCCTGATCCTGTGGAGAAAACAAACGCTCCGGTTTAATCGAACGGTTCCATCTGAGGACAGAAACCACGCTTCGTTTCATCTCTGCAGGAAACTTCTTCTTCTACATCTTCACATCAATCTGTGTCGTCTGCGAAAATACGAAACTACGTCAGTGACCTGAAGGAGTCGGTGCAGTCGTTCGTTTTCGGAGCCGAAGTTCTGAATCAGTTTGTCCCGCTCCTCCACCTCCTGCTGCAAAGCATTCTGGTCCTCCTCTCTGGCCTGCCGGGTGATCTTCAGAGATTTCTGAAGCTCCTGAACCTTCAGCTGGAGCTCTGCTGCTCGCTCTGATACAGAGAAACGCAAGAACGAGAACGATCAGATCTTTACAACACCTCAGCTTCAGAGGGTGAGTTTGATTCGTTCAGAGTGTTTGATTCGTTCAGAGTGTGATTCATTCGTTTAGGGTGTGTTTGATTCGTTCAGAGAGTGTTTGATTCGTTCAGAGTGCGTTTGATTCGTTCAGTGTGTTTGATTCGTTCAGAGAGTGTTTGATTCGTTCAGAGTGCGTTTGATTCGTTCAGTGTGTTTGATTCGTTCAGAGAGTGTTTGATTCATTCAGAGTGTGTTTGATTCGTTCATACTGTGTTTCATTCGTTCAGGGTGAGTTTGATTCGTTCAGAGTGTGTTTGATTCGTTCAGAGAGTGTTTGATTCGTTCAGAGTGCGTTTGATTCGTTCAGTGTGTTTGATTCGTTCAATGAGTGTTTGATTCGTTCAGAGTGTGTTTGATTCGTTCATACTGTGTTTGATTCGTTCAGAGAGTGTTTGATTTGTTCAGAGTGTGTTTGATTCGTTCAGAGTGTGTTTGATTCGTTCAGAGTGTGTTTGATTCGTTTAGGGTGTGTTTGATTCGTTCAGAGTGTGTTTGATTCGTTCAGAGTGTGATTGATTCGTTCAGGGTGTGTTTGATTCGTTCAGAGTGTGATTGATTCGTTCAGAGTGTGATTGATTCGTTCAAAGTGTGATTGATTCGTTCAGAGTGTGTTTGATTCGTTCAGTGTGTCTGACTCGTTCAAAGTGTGTTTGATTCGTTCAGAGACTGTTTGATTCGTTCAGAGAGTGTTTGATTCGTTCATAGTGCGTTTGATTCTTTCAGTGTGTTTGATTACAGCAGAAATGACCAGAAAGAAGCAACTGAGTAAAGAAACAAGTGTGTTTGATTCGTTCAAAGTGTGATTGATTCATTCAGAGTGTGTTTGATTCGTTCAGGGTGTGTTTGATTCGTTCAGGGTGTGTTTGATTCGTTCAGAGTGTGTGTGATTCGTTCAGAGAGTGTTTGATTCGTTCAGAGTGTGTTTGATTCTTTCAGTGTGTTTGATTCGTTCAGAGTGTGTTTGATTCTTTCAGTGTGTTTGATTCATTCAGAGAGTGTTTGATTCGTTCAGAGTGTTTGATTCGTTCAGAGTTTGATTTGTTCAGAGTGAGTTTGATTCGTTCAGAGAGTGTTTGATTCGTTCAGTGTGTTTGATTCGTTCAGAGTGTGTTTGATTCGTTCAGAGTGTGATTGATTCGTTCAGAGTGTGTTTGATTCGTTCAGAGTGTGTTTGATTCGTTCAGAGTGTGTTTGATTCGTTCAGAGTGTGTTTGATTCGTTCAGAGAGTGTTTGATTCGTTCAGAGTGTGTTTGATTTGTTCAGAGGGTGTTTGATTCGTTCACCTGTCAGAGCCTGTCTGTCTCTGCTGAGCTGTGATGCGCGGTCAGCGTCTCTCTGGCTGATGGTCAGCTGGTACTGAAGCTCCTCCCGCTGAGCTTCTCCTCGCTCCACCGACGACCTCAGCCGGGTCAGCTCCGTCTGCAGCCGGCACAGCTGAGGAGAAGAATCAGATCATGAACATCTGAAGAAGTTTAGCAGTCCGGAGTAAATCTGCTCCTCAGTTTAAGGTTCTTCTCCATGTCCTGGAAAAGTCGTCTCCTCACCTCCTGGTTATGGCTCGCCGTCAGCTCCAGTCTCTCTCTCTCCAGCTGATGGACTCTCCTCCTCAGACTCTCAGATTGATCGCCCTCTTGACCTCCTTCTGACGCCGCTCTCCTTCCTCTCACCTCCTCCTTTTCACCTACTCGTCCTCCATCTCCTCGGCTCCTGTCTCTCCCTCCCTCTTCATCATCCCTTCCAGCTCTTCCGTCTCTATCTCCTGCTGACGTCTGCCTCTGTTCCTGCATGGTGGTGAAGATCTCTTTTAACCTGTTGAATCATAAATGCGATTAAGAAGAGAGTGCAGGTGTGTTTTTGAAGAGTTTATCTGAAAGAAACCCGAACCCTGGCCCTTACACTACACACTACAGGCCAAAATCCTAATAAATCTCAACTGTGTTCAAACTACAGCAGAAATGACCAGAAAGAAGCAACTGAGTAAAGAAACAGAAGTACAGATTTGTACATCGAGGAAAGAAGGAAACACAGAAAGAGAAAAACGCCTAAAGGTGTTTAACAAAGGAGTCGACTTCACTCTGAGGAGACGAGAGGAACCTGGAAGTTCTGATGATAGAAAAAGACGAAAGAGAGTGACTACAAAAGCAGAGGATAAACAGAGCATTGTCACCAGGAAGAGAGGTCAGAGAAAGACAGCACCACGAATAAGGGAGGAAATCAACATGACAAGGTCCAAACCCATATCTGTGACAACCGTGACGTTTGAGAAAGGCTTGTCTGAAGGGTTGAGTATCTGCAAAAAAAACTTCATCCACAGAACAAGAGAAAGAGACATGAGTGGGGGCTTGCAGGTGATGGAGTAGGAGATTTGTTTGAAGTAAAGGGTATCATGAAGAAGGAACAGTACCACTCCATCCTCCAGCACCATGCTGCTCCATCTGGACTCAGACTTGTGGCTCATAAGTTTGTTTTGCAGTAAGACAATGACCCTAAGCTCTCTGCCGAGCTCTGTCAGGGTTACCGAGACAAAAGAGAAGAGGAAGGTGTTCTTCAAAAGATGGTTTGGCCCCCTCAGTCTCCAGACCTTTCTCCAACTGAGCTTGTGCAGGATGAATTGGATCGATCGGTCAGAAAAACGCGTCCCACGAATCAGCGTCTCTTTTTAATGAACTTAAGAAAGCTTGAATGTAATCCTCATAGTTATAGTCAAAATGTCTTCTGATCAGTTACTCTTTACACAATAGTCATGTTTATTGTGTTGAAAATTATATATATGGAACTATGATCTTGTTTTGTACAAATCTGATCTTGCTTCCAAACTTTTGGCCTGTAGTGTATGTAATCGTTCTATGCCAATACCTGCTCATTTTAAACCTGATATAAGCAACATGTTTATAAAATGCAGTCAGAGAAACAATCAAACAGGTAAAAATTCTTGTAATTAACATTAGCGGCAAAAATAGCCATGATTAAGTGACTCTTTACCTTACTATCTCCTCTTGGGTGTTCCTCAGGGCTCTCTGTTGGGTCCCCTTCAGTTCCACTCGGCCCTGCTGTCTCTCCCCATGCCTACCCTTGACGTGCTGCCTCCTCCTCTCTGCTGGTTCTGCCTGCATAGCTCCACAGGTTGATTTAGCCCTAATAGAGTAATAAAACCAAAAACAAATCAGAATAACCTTATAACAAAGACCCAAACTTCAATTCTTTCATGAGTCCCACCTAATTTATGAACCAGTATAAAGAGGTCTGGAGATGTTTGATAAGTGTTAATATAAGATGACTTTGTTAAACAGAACAAACCCTGGAGGTTGTTTGGTACCAGGGGAGGCTGGTTGCTTAGCAGCTGATATCACCTTGCCAGCAGACGCACTCCAGTCTCTTCACAGTGCGTTCCCCATTTGCAAATAGTACAAGTGAATATTCAGCGAAATATTGACAATTTACTCAAACGTAATAACAAAAACTAACTCTAAAGTTATAAAGTCTGATCTTTTACAGAATTCGGCTTACAGTAAAGTAAAAACAGCGTCTTGTCTTTGTATAATCTTAGTTATTTTAATTTGGTTTTACGTTGTAAAAAGTACAGTGATCGGCGGCAAGTCAGTGCCTCCATGGTATTAACATTCTAATAATCTTTACTAGTGTAATATGTCGTCAGCCGAATTCACCAGAAGAAGGTTTAGATTAGCTGAATAATATTTGTTTTATATATCATGTCAATATATTTCACAGCTGAGAAAGCAGCGTTAAAACCCTGCTATTTCTCAAGGGGGTTTTGTTTACTTCGGCACAAAACACGAAGACCCGTTTCGCTGCGAAGAGTTATAAATAACGTCTTTTAAAGCTCCAAACTCATTTCAAAATGACCCCGACGGTCTCGGTATCTAATTTAAACTACAAGTCTGAGCAGAAAAAGAAAGATAAACTACTAATAAAGACTTACAGTAAAGCAGTACAGGGAGCCGTTTGAATCTGACGCCATTTTGAGCGTCCGTCTACGTCATTCCCTCTGGATTGGGTGGAGCCTACACGGCGGCCATCTTACTCCAGTATACTATTCTGGTACATTGTGTGGTAGCTGACAGGAGGGGAGTGATTTGCATGATCAAAAATCCTCTTAACTCGCTGAAATCTTGACAGATTTACAAACGGTTTAGTTCATTACAGACCTTAAAAACGTGGCTATGGGTCGGGATGCTTGGACATATAAAAATGGCAGCTTTTCTTTGTTAAAAAAGGTTTAATCATGAAGATAATCAAGTTTTGCTTTGGGTCAATGTTCTTACAGGCTAAACTCTTGTAAGGTTTCTTTAAGTTTATCAATTGTTGAATTGGTTTTCAAAAAACCTTTTTCTAATGTGCTTTTCTACGTCCATATGAGCCTCTTTTGACAGCAGATGAGCTTCTGTAAATACTCTTATGTTGTTTTATTTAAAATGACTACTTGTGCACATTTAAATTTATGCACGTGCTTCATAGATTAAACTGTGATTTTAAATACCTTTTTTTAGATTTTATTTCCAATAATTAATACAGAATCTGTGACTCATGTTCTATTTATCTTATATGTGTGTGTGTGTGTATCATAGAACAGATATACAGAAAGGCAACACAAGACACATATTTATATTGAAAATAAATACATATATCTTAATGATGTATGTTATTGCAGTTATCCCTATAATAGAAAAATTACTAATATAACATAAATGGAATCATTAAATGTTTTATATATAAACGATAAGATATAACTGCCCTGTGTGTGTATGCCTATGGCTATTGCTCCTCCTATCTGTTTAATGTTTATTTATATAAATCCATGGTTAAAATTATTTATGAGTATGCAGGGACATAACTAAAACTCTAGGGTTTGTCACAAACTAAACCGTTAAGAAATCGGTTTAAAATTAATCAATCTATGGTTATTTAAATCATGCTACATACACCGTAGACTGGAATGGTATGAGTGGGCGAGCTGCCTGAAGCAAGATGGCTGCCATGCGAGGACGTCGATCTCCATTGGCTAACAGCGTGCGTAAGCCATCCAGCGTTTATATATATATATATCTATGGGGTGGACGGCCGACTTCTTCTTCCTCCTTCGTTTTATGACAACCAACTTAAGGAGCATTACCGCCACCTACTGGATTGGAGTGTGGCAGAGGAACATAAGCAAGGAAAAAAACAGATATATGCCTATCCATATATTTATACTCACTAAGCTCCAAAGTTAAAATCTGTACAATAAGCCAGTCTCCTTCAAATCCTTCATTAATGACTTGAATACTTTTTCAGATGCTGACCCTGACAGATTCTCTACTGTGAGATCTAGATTTTCTTAGTTTTGTTGCAAACCGGTGTCTACAGACGGCCTTTCGAATTTCCTGGGGGGTTCAGCCGAGGATGGTTCTGCCGGACCAACTATCACCCTGCTTTCTGTGCCATAGTGTTCCCCACCCATCCAAGGCTTGTAAAATGTGTTAAATTAACGTCGAATATGACTTTTATGTGTTTATTTGTCCTTTCAATGACATTTATGACCTCCAACAGAGGGCGGTGTGGTCCGTTTTCCCCGGGTAACCGCCTTTCTACCAGCGGAGAAGAAGACGCAGAGCAAACAAATGGCGGCGCCCTCGGAACACGTTGAACCCGCTGAAACTGACACCAAAGAAGCTCCGGGAACCTCCAATGATCCGGAGACCTCAGACCCAGAACCGGCAGCTGATCCGGATGAGGATGGGGATGAAGAAGAGGACGGAACCGAGCCTCCCGAACCAAAGATCCGGGACACCCCTCAGGACATCAGACTGGAGGCGATCGCCAACACGGTGGACCTCCACCCGACCAGGGACCTGCTGGTGTTCGGGGACATCGACGGGGACGTGTACGCCTACAGTTACTCGTGCACGGAGGGGGAGAATAAGGAGCTGTGGTCCTCAGGGCACCACATGAAGTCCTGCCGGCAGGTCCGGTTCTCCGCGGACGGACTGAAGGTCTACACCGTGTCCAGGGACAAAGCGGTCCACCTGCTGGACGCGGAGCGGGGGCAGCTGGTGACCAGGATCCGCGGGGCCCACGAGGCTCCCATCAACAGTCTGCTGCTCGTGGACGAGAACATCCTGGCGACCGGGGACGACCGAGGGACCCTCAAGGTCCGGACAAGGGGTCCAAACTTGGCGGGGTGTTTGATTCGTTCAGAGTGTGTTTGATTCATTCAGTGCGTTTGATTCGTTCAGAGTGTTTGATTCTTTCAGTGTGTTTGATTCGTTCAGAGTGTGTTTGATTCATTCAGTGCGTTTGATTCGTTCAGAGTGTGTTTGATTCGTTCACCTGTAGAGTGTGTTTGATTCGTTCAGAGTGTTTGATACTTTCAGTGTGTTTAATTCGTTCAGAGTGTGTTTGATTCGTTCAGAGTGTGTTTGATTCGTTCACCTGTAGAGTGTGTTTGATTCGTTCAGAGTGTTTGATTCTTTGAGTGTGTTTGATTCGTTCAGAGTGTGTTTGATTCGTTCAGAGTGTGTTTGATTCGTTCAGAGTGTGTTTGATTCGTTCAGTGTGTTTGATTCGTTCAGTGTGTTTGATTCGTTCAGTGTGTTTGATTCGTTCAGTGTGTTTGATTCGTTCACTTGTAGAATGTGTTTGATTCGTTCACTTGTAGAATGTGTTTGATTTGTTCAGAGTGTGTTTGATTCGTTCAGAGTGTGTTTGATTCGTTCAGAGTGTCTCTGATTCGTTCACCTGTAGAGAGTGTTTGATTCGTTCAGTGTGTTTGATTCGTTCAGTGTGTTTGATTCCTTCAGAGTGTCTGTGATTCGTTCACCTGTAGAATGTGTTTGATTTGTTAAGAGTGTGTTTGATTTGTTCAGAGTGTGTTTGATTCGTTCAGAGTGTGTTTGATTCGTTCAGAGTGTCTGTGATTCGTTCACCTGTAGAGTGTGTTTTAATTCGTTCAGACTGTGTTTGATTCGTTCACCTGTAGAGTGTGTTTGATTCGTTCAGAGTGTGTTTGATTCGTTCACAGTGTGTTTGATTCGTTCACAGTGTCTGTGATTCGTTCACCTGTACAGTGTGTTATGAATCATTAAAGTTGGTATAACTAGAGAAGAAAGCGGTCGGCAACATTCCTCTCCAGAGGGCGTGTCTAACTCGGTGTTAGGGTGTGTTTGACCCTAAATTAATTTTTTGCCGGAATATCCCTTTAACAGATACTCTGGTTTGTTTGTCTCTGGAGGTGTGGGATATGAGGAAGGGGACGGCCATCATGGATCTGAAACACCATGAGGACTACATCAGTGACATCACTGTAGACCAGGCCAAGAGGATCCTGCTCACCACCAGGTAACGAAACAGCGTCTCATCTCTAAACAGCTGTTTTCAAGGTCCTTGATTTGACGGGATCTCTTTCTGATGCAGCGGTGATGGTACCATGGGGGTCTTCAACATCAAGAGGCGGAGGTTCGAGCTCCTATCCGAGTCCCAAAGTGGCGATCTGACCTCCGTGGCGATAATGAAGCGGGGTAAGAAGGTGGTCTGCGGCTCCAGCGAGGGGACCATCTACATCTTCAACTGGAACGGCTTCGGAGCCACCAGCGATCGCTTCGCCATCAAGGCTGAATCGGTAGAGTGCATCGTCCCCGTCACTGACAACATCATGTGCACCGCCGCCATGGACGGGTACATCCGGTGAGTCAGGGTGGCGTTATGGTCTCTGACTCTGCCCTTGGCTGAGTCTGAGTAGAGGTTTTGAGTGTTACAAAAAATCTTCTAATATCAGTCAATAGTTATTAGTTATTGATGACATTTGGTAATATATCGATATCTCTGTGTTCTCTTATGTCTGTGTCGTCAACATTTGAACATTTTTGAGCGGTCCGCTCTTTCTGACTGTAAACAAAGCCGTTCTCCACCTCCTCTAACCTGATTGGTTGTGAGGCAGACGCTGCTCCCCCGTGTCGTTCAGGAGCCCAAACAAAGTTAGCGTGCTACAATATCGGACAGTAGAAACCAACCAGAAAGTTCGGAAAATTGTCCGAATCCTCCTTTGGCCACGACTGCCGACACAAGCAAGAAAACAAAGTAAATACCGGAGACTCTGGAGGAATAACGGGCGCTTAAAACGGAGGTAGACCGGACAAGAGCTAAAAAGCCGGGTCAACATAAACCATGGGGGACGCTTGGGGATCTTGGTGACCCTGTAACCTTTCTGCTGGACAGGTAAACCGCTTTAACAAAGTAAGACAAGTGTCTGTAACAGAAGTGTTTCTTGTCAAACGGACCTGCTGTAGCGTGTTGTAGCGCCATCGCTAAACTGTCCTCCCTCGGGTCCTGGACTATGTCACTTTATCCTCGTTGTAGAAGTCCTGCAAACATCGTGTTTGCTGGTAGTCTGTTGGCGTCTACAGTAGCACCAATGCTTTTGACTTTCACCTTGACTGGGCCCCATTTGTAATGATCTGAAGGATTTATCTGCATTATATCTGAATTTAATTGGAACGATACGAGCGAGCAGGAGCGCCTGTTTGTGGGCGGGGCTTGAGGGAGAGGAGGAGCTGAGGGGAAAACTGGTTGGGAGGGGTAGAGTTTACATTCAAGATTTCTCCTAAAAACTGGAACTAACTCAGATCCTGACTACAACACCTTTTAAAAGGGATATTACAGACTACAGCGGGGTGCCGCAGCTCAAAGAAGAACATTTCTGATCATTTCTTCATGGACATACAATCAGACCGAGACGCTAAGGCAGAAGAACTACCACGTCTGCAGAGCAAAATGATCAATATGGTGATTATTACTTAAAGGAAATGATGAAGAAATGATCATTAATGTTCTTCCTTGAGCTGTGTCACCCCGCTGTAGTCCGTAATGGACTGGCCTGAGGTCTCTGTACAAACAAGCGTCTGCTGGAAGAGAGTAGGTGAGTTGTATTTAGTCTCTCTGCTAAAGTTAAAAAGATGTTTGGTGTCTAGTACTATGTCTGTGACCCTATATGTCCTGTTGATGAAGTTAGGTGCTGTTCTGAGCATTATTTGTGGCTATAGAGTGGCGTTTTGGTTGAGGGCGTGGCTCTCTGTATTTCTATCCTGCGGTCGTTACTAAAGTTGGTATAACTAGAGAAGCAAGCGGTCGACAACATTCATCTCTGGAGGGGGGGTCCAACTCGGTGTTACGGTGGGTTTGACCCTAAATTAATTTTATGACGGAATATCCCTTTTTAAGAGACTTTCAATAAAAGAATGATAAAAACTTAGCCCCTAATCTGTAAGAGTTGACTGATTCTGTTCCCTGTAAAAGTCTCTGGACCTTCTTGCTACAGGATAACTTCCCCAAAATGCTGTAACCCGACACTAAACTTGTTTCTTTTCCACCAGAGCCGTCAACCTCCTTCCAAACCGGGTCATCGGCTGCATCGGACAGCATGTCGGCGAACCCATCGAGGAGCTCGCCAAGTCTTGGGACTCTCGTTTCCTGGTCAGCAGCGCCCACGACCAGCTCATCAAGTTCTGGGACATTTCCAGTTTACAGAACACAACCGTCAACGAATACCGAAAGAGGAAGAAGAAAGGCGGACGGATGAAGTCTCTGACGAAGAAAGCCCACGGGGACAACGACTTCTTCTCAGGACTCGTAGAGGAAACAGAAAAAAAGGAGGAGGAGGAGGAGGAGGAGGATGACAGCAACAGTGGCAGTGACTGAAAGACCTGTGCTTGGTTTCATGTTTGAAATGTGATTTTACTCTTCCTTTCAGACCGATTCTTTCCTCATGGCCGGATCGTCCAAAGTGCCTTCCAGTGCCTGAAGTATGTAAAGTGTTGGTGTCTCATTTTAAAGAGAACAGACACTGAATAAAGAGAGGTTAATGTCCTCACAGAGACATGACCAGTGACCGTTAATGGACATGGACAGGCTTTTGAACACAGTTTTGGAGATACTGATCCATGTGGAAAGCCACAACGCAAAGAAAGAGGTCAGTCGGCCTCAGTTTTTCTGTCTGCTGTGTGTCTCCAAAAAAGGAAAACGTCATTGAATGTTGTTGAATAAACATAACTTGGTTTTGAAACGACTGAAGAAATGTAAAAATGGGTAAGTCTTAGATTTTATTGGAGTTTAAAGTCATATAATATTGTAAATAGTCTTATTTTCTTCCTGAAATTTGGACGGCCCTTTCACTACATAAAAAAACAAAACAAAAATTAAAAATATAACTAACGAAACCACAAAAAAAACATATTAAAAGCAAAAGTTTTTTATAAATAAAAGCATGTGTTCATTTTTTTTTATTTTCAATTTACCAATATTTATGTTGGGTCTTAAAGAAAACTTATTTTAAAACTTTTAATTTTTATACCTTATTTAATTCAGTTATTATTTAAAACAGTCATTCATTTATTCTTCCAAACAAGGAAAAATCTCAAACCTGTGAATGAAAAGGAGCAGAAAGAAGAAAACTCCTCTTTCATAGGATATTCATCAACTAAACACAATAATAACTAGAAAAGCACTCGGAGAGCGCAGACCTCCGCCAAGCAGCTCATGTCCCCCTTATATTGTGATTCACAGCAAAACTTTCACTGTTACGTGTCTTTTATTAACGTTTATCTGTGTTTAAACTGGTATGTTCACTGTTCAGAATGTTCCTAAAACAAGAAATGCCCTGACCCGGATTCAAACCCAGGACCTTCTTACTGTGAGGTGGCAGTGCTAACCACTACACCACTGTGCCGCCCATCTACACCACTGTGCCGCCCGTCTACACCACTGTACCGCCTATCTACGCCTATCTACCGCCCATTGGTTATCTTTCAGCATTGAAAATTCCAAAGACACCCTTATTTTTGTGTGTTCTGGATCACAGTATCCAGAGTTTTGTCCGGATCACCACCAAAATGTAATGGGATCCTCCTGGGGCTGAGACGCTCCTCCGGTGAAAATTTCAGGTCAATCCGTCAGTAACTTTCTCTGCCGAAAACATAACCTCCAACAAGAGCTGCAGACCAACATGCCTTTTTAGACTTCATTATTTCTTATTCTCTAAAACAAACAGACAAGACCACGTTAATTCACACATTTTCACAAAAACAAATATGCACAGACTTGTTTTAACATATTTCGCTGTATTTACTCGACATACTGACTTTGACACTTTTTTAAAGATCAAATCTGATTTATCTTCTTTAGTTTCTTCGCTCACATTGTTCCACAAACTAATTCCTCTCACTGTAACTCAGCGCTCCTTCACTTTAGTTCTCAATCTTTTTAAATATTTCAAATCCCTTTAAACTATAATAAACTTTCTCTTTTTTCTGGATGTTGACTGGTAAAACTTTCCTATGAGTTTTATACATAATCTACAACATACTGATATCTACTAACTCACTGAATCTCAACAACTGCAATTTAACAAAGAATGAACATTAATCGAAAGAAAGACAAAGATAACGCGCAGGGTTACCCGTAGGTGGTACCATAGATATCTATAAGAAAGGCTAGATGACTTGAGGCGGAGTCACCGGCGTTCCTACACGGCACCCATCTAGGCACAGAAGACCAATTAAGTTATGGTCAAACACACTGTAACACTGAGTTAGACACCCCCTCCAGAGATGAACGTTATCGACCGCAGGATAGCAATACAGAGAGCCACGCCCCCAACCAAAACGCCACTCTATAGCCACAAATAATGCTCAGAACAGCACCTAACTTCATCAACAGGACATATAGGGTCACAGACATAGTACTAGACACCAAACATCTTTTTAACTTTGACTCATTTCTTTAGCAAAGAGACTAAACACAACTCACCTCACAACTGACCTCAGGCCAGTCCATTACGGACTACAGCGGGGTGCCGCAGCTCAAGGAAGAACATTTAATCTTAAGTAACTACAATAACGTCTAAACTCAACATGTGTTTTTAAATACAGTTCATAAACCGTCCTTTTGCGTTTTTGTGGTGTTGTTTCTGATTTTTTTGTGTCTCTTCAGTCTTTGCAGGTCAACGAATATACAGGACTGGAGTTTTGCGAAATACTGAATGGAACCTCCATACCGCCTGAACTGCTGTAAGACACTCTCTCAAAAAGATGAAGAAATATAATCAAGTTTGTGTTACAGTAACTTAACGGCTCCCCCTACTGGACAGATTGATGTATTACATCCTGTTGATTACCTGCTTTTGTCTGGCTGATGCAATAATCCAAGATCTTTAAATCAGGTTAAGTGGATGTAATACAATCCACGGGTAACACCGCAGCTCCAAATAATGAAAGTAGTATTTTTTAAGTGTTATTTAGTTATTCAGGGTAACTGTGTTTCCAGGTGTACTACAGGGGAGGCAGATGACATGAGGCAGATATTGAAAATAATTACTGTACAGACCAAAAGTTTGGACACACCCTCTCATTCAATGCATTTTCTTTGTTTTCATTACTATTTAAATTGTAGATTCTCAAAACTATGAATGGCCACATGGGGAATCATGTGCTTAATAAAAAAGTGTGAAATAACTGAAAACATATTTTATATTTTAGATTCCTCAAAGTAGCCACCCTTTGCTTTTTTGATAGCGCTGCAAATTTTTGTTGTTCTCTCAGTGAGCTTCATGAGGTCGTCACCTGAAAGGGTTTTTACTTCACAGGTGTGCCTTATCAGGGTTACTAAGTACTTCTGTCATCAAGAGCAAAGGTTGGCTATTTAAAAAAATATATAGAATATAAAACATGTTTTCAGTTATTTCACACTTTTTTTATAAGTACAAAATTCTATATGTGTTCATTCATAGTTTTAATGCCTTAAGTGATAATCTACAATGTAAATAGTCATATAAAAAATAAAGAAAAGACATTGAATAAGAAGGTGTGTCCAAACTTTTGGCCTGTACTGTACATATATTTTGTTGTTATATGTTATTATAGTTATCCCTATAGTAGAAATATTACTAATACAACATACATTGAATGATTAAAGGTTTTATACATAAATGATTTAATATAACTGCCTTGTGTGTGTAGGCCTATATCTATTGCTCTACTACTTAAACAGTTTATTGGTCAATGGTGAAAATTATTTTATTTTATTATTTCATGTTTCATGAAATAATATATATATACATAGTTCATTATTTCATACTTCAATTTATTTTTATTATTTTATTTTTATTTCAGTTTATTTATAAAAATCCATGGTTAATATTACTCTTGAGTATTCAGGAACATAACCAAAACTCTGAGGTTTGTTAGAAATCAAACCGTTCGAAAATCGGTTAAGAGTTAAGTAATTTATGGTCATTTAAATGTCATTTAAATGTTACTAAATGTTATTTAAATAACATTTAAATAACATGTTATTTAAATAACATTTAAATGTTATTTAAATGTAATTTAAATGTTACCTGCACCGGAGACTGAGCGGGCGGATGGCCGGAAACAAAATGGCGGCCATTCGCGGACGTCGGACTCCGCTTGCTAACAGTGTGCGTAGCGCCGCAGAAGATCGGTAAAAGCAACAGGTTCGTTCGAGCTCAGGTAAGTTTCAAGAATTAAAAAGAAGAAGATTCAATATAAAGTCCCCTTGAATTACAAGCAGCCTACGAGGCATGTGTATTTTCGTCTAGTTTGTGTCGCGATTCTCACCTCCTAGCTTAAATGAATGAACCGCTGTACGTTTCGCGCCTAAATTACTATGCAATGAAAACGTTAATTTTTACACGCCGTTTGAATCGAATTTGATGAACTATTCCGTGTTATATATCTTGGAGGGTACATTTGTGATGACAGACATTTCATTCAGTTTATTGTGTATTTGTTTCCACCTGTTCTCACGGGTTTAGTCTGAGAATAAAGAACCCCGTTTTTTAACCAACATCTCCTGACTAGTGCTGTTATAGGAGGAGGGAGCTACAGTCGGTTTGACCAGCAGGTGGAGCTGCTGCATTAAAAATAAACTGAGACTCGACTGAACAAGTTCCTGTTTTAGACGAATCTGTGATCTGGTGGTTCAGGTTTTAGTGAAAGTGAAAGTATGTGAGTTAAACAAACAGACTCCATTTTGAGAAACGAACAGAGAGGAGAGGACGAGGAGACAGGGTGAGTGTTTACTCTGTTTTAGTTTTAATGTCAAACTCTTTATCTGTTTTATCTGTTAATGAAAAATGATTTACTGACTGAAACACTTAAAAACTGTAAAACAAAGAAACCAGAGCAGACAAAGAGCTGGATCAGTTCTTCAAACAGGAAACTGTGTACGTGCAGTTCTTCCTCCTCTTTGTTCAGACTTGTCTTTGTGGTAAAAACATAAATCAGAATCTTTTTAGCCTCTCATTTCAACTTTAATCCAGTCTCCTTAAGTTTTTCTGAGAGTTCAGGGACCTCACAGCTGATTTTGTTTGGACCATGAATCAGACAAGGATCAGAGAGAGGCCCTGCAGGGTGGGGAGACATCAGAAGAGTTCAGATATTAAACCCATAGACATATATAAGAAAGGTTTATATACATATATCTATGATTAAACCTGTAAAACTCTTAAAGAGGGGGATGAAGCTGTTTTCAGACTCTGTACTTCCTTTCTGATTCCTCTTTTATTTTGAAACTCTCTCTTCCTGTTTGTGTCTCACCTGTTTGTTTACTTTGTCCTCAGGTTGTAGAACTCGGTTTCATCTTCCATAAATTTACACAAAAGAAGATGGAGGAGATGTTATCAAGGAAGAGGAGGGCAGAGCAAAAGTCTGACATGTTTGACTGTCTGTCTATGAGGAGTGACCGGTCTAAAGATCATCCTCTTATACTCTTCAGTAAAGAACCAGGACCCTCAGGTTCACAGTAAGAGAAACACTTTTCACCCTCCAAACTCTCAAACAACAACAGCTGATGTTTCAAAATCCGAACTTTAAATCCTGACCCCTCTGTTTTCTCCTCTGCTCTGAAAATGCTGATTTTCCTCTTTAACCTCCAACCTGGAGAAAGTGAAGAAAAAGTCACTGAGCTCAGATTTACTTATTATTCCTGATGTTGATAAAAATGAAGGTGGTATAAAACAGCATTAGAAAAGGATCCTGACCTCTGTATTTTCTGATTTGGTTCCTGTGTTTGGGACGTTTTGAGCCTGTTAGTCTTTGGACTGTGGTGTATAGACCCCAGAAAACAGTCTGTGGGTCAGAAAATACCAGAAGACCAAAGAAGAAATAAATCCTGAGAAATAAAAACTCATTCAGAGCATCTGTCTGTTATTAGACCTTTAGATCTGATTGTTAAAAAATGTTTGAAACTGTCAGAGAAAATCTCTCGACCTTCAAAAATCACAGTTGAGTTTTTTCTCCTGTCTCCACACTTTGAGGCAGCAGCAGCTGAATATTTTACTGTTTTATTTTAGAGAAAAGAGAAACTCTGGTTTAATAAATGTTTCTTATTCTGAATCTTTCAAACATGAAATAATAAAGAAAATAAATGTTCTTTATTTCCACAGAGAGACACAGAGATGTGACTCTGTGGAGGAGCAGCTGTCCAGATATCTCAGCTCTGATGGAAGTAAGTCTGAACATCTGTCCTCTAAAGTCTGTGTGGATGAAAACTCAGCTGACTGATTTTCACAAAGACGTTTCAGTGTTGAGAAGTTTGGTTCATTTTATTTTTCTTCTCTTTCAGAAGATGTCGGTCTGCAGGAGGTTTTAGATGAACATAAGATCAGTCTGAAGAGGAGATGTGAACGTGTGAATGAAGGAAGTGATGAAACAGGAAGTAGTCAAACCCTCCTCAACAGGATCTTCACTGAGCTCTACATCACAGAGGGACTGAGTGAAGAGGTGAACACCCAACATGAGGTGAGACAGCTGGAGACAGCTTCAAAGATGAAGACCCTCCATGACGAACCCATCAGGTGTCATGAGATCTTTCAAACCTTACCTGACCAACAGAAGAAGCTCATCAGAGTGGTTCTGACCAACGGCGTGGCTGGTGTTGGAAAAACCTTCTCAGTGCAGAAGTTCACTCTGGACTGGGCAGAGGGTTTGAAGAACCAAGACCTCCATCTGGTGGTCCTGCTTTCATTCAGGGAGCTGAACCTGATCAGAAGGAAGCGCTTCAGTCTTCTGAGTCTGCTCCATGTTTTCCATCCAACCCTAGAGAAGGTCACAGCAGAGATGCTGACTGTCTGTAAACTTCTGTTCATCTTTGACGGTCTGGATGAAAGCAGACTGTCTCTGGATTTCAAACGCACTAAGGTCCTGTCTGACGTCACACAGAAGTCTTCACTGAACGTTCTGTTAACAAACCTCATCAAGGGGAACCTGCTCCCCTCAGCTCTCATCTGGATAACTTCTCGACCTGCAGCAGCCAATCAGATCCCTCCTTCATGTGTGGACAGGGTAACAGAAGTACGAGGCTTCACTGACGCCCAGAAGGACGAGTACTTCAGGAAGAGGTTCAGAGATGAAGATCTGTCCAGAAGAATCATCTCACACATCAAGTCCTCCAAGAGCCTCCACATCATGTGTCAGATCCCGGTCTTCTGCTGGATCACTGCTACAGTTCTGGAGGACATGATGAGGAGAAAGAAGAGAGGAGATCTGCCCAAGACCCTGACTGACATGTACTCACACTTCCTGCTGGTCCAGACTAAGAGGAAGAAGCAGAAGTATGAAGGAGGACATGAGACAAGTCCTCAGGAGCTGACGGAGGCTGACAGTGAAGTCCTCCTGAAGCTGGGGAGGCTGGCCTTTGAACATCTGGAGAAAGGAGACATCATGTTCTACCAAGAAGACCTGGAGCGGTGTGGTCTGGATGTCTCAGAGGCCTCGGTGTACTCAGGAGTTTGTACAGAGATCTTCAGAAGAGAGAGTGTGATCTTCCAGAAAACTGTTTACTGTTTCGTTCATCTGAGCGTTCAGGAGTTTCTGTCTGCAGTCTACATGATCCACAGTTTCACAACCAGGAACACAGAAGATCTGAAGACTTTTCTAAAAGACAACAAAGACAAAACCCTGGATGACTGTCTCTCATCTCTGGATGTCTTCCTGAAGAGAGTCATGATGAAATCCCTTCTCAGTAAAAACGGTCACCTGGACCTGATTGTTCGCTTCCTTCATGGACTCTCTCTGGAGTCAAACCAGAGACTCTTAGGAGGTCTGCTGGGTCACACAGACAACAGTCCAGAAATGATCCAAAGAGTCATCAAGAACCTGAAGGAGATGAACAGTGAAGATATCTCTCCTGACAGAAGCATCAACATCTTCCACTGTCTGATGGAGATGAACGATCTGTCAGTTCATCAGGAGATCCAAGAGTTCCTGAAGTCAGAGAACAGATCAGAGAAGGAACTCTCAGAGATCCACTGCTCTGCTCTGGCCTACATGCTGCAGATGTCAGAGGAGGTTCTGGAGGAGTTGAACTTAAGGAAGTATAACACATCAGACCAGGGACGACTGAGACTGATCCCAGCTGTGAGGAACTGCAGAAAGGCTGAGTAAGTCCAGGTTTTATTCTCAGAATAGTGTAAATGATCCCTGTAGTTCTTCTAATGTCCACGTTACTGATGATGTTCTTCTTCAAATAGAAATCCACTCAAATATCAGGGAGGGGGTTTCTTTAGCAAAAACATGATCCTGGTGTCTAAAGTCCTGTTAGCCCAGGATGAGGTCTACCTGTGGACCCCTGAGAACTTGTCCTGATTGTGGAGGACCTCTTTGTTTTGAATCGTGTCTGTAATGAATAAAGTGGAACTTTGAGGACAAATCAGTGACCATATCTGAGGACACACAGAGGTCTTCTGATGATGGTATCAGTCCAGATCAACATCTCAGTCAGTTGTGGTGAACTTGAGTTTGAAGAAGGTGTCTGCAGCTTCTTCCTGCTGGTTTTCAGGTTGGAAATGATGAATCTGTTGTAAATGAGGGTGTTGACAGCATTGATGGTGAAAATAGAACTGGATCATTTTCTACACAGTGGCAGAACTGTCTCTGTACCATCATGTTCATCATTCAATATTCATCATCAATACAACCATGAAAACTAACATCATTTTCCACCACTCACTGGAGATGATCTGCTGGACTAGAACATATGAATGATGAGAACACAGGAGGTATTTGGACAGCAGCTCCATGAGTCTGAAAACAATGGTGGAAATAGGAGGTTAATGTCTCTCTCTAGTATAGTAAGTATTGGACGATAATGTGGAGAGAGAGAGGGAGGGAGGGAGGGAGAGAGAGAGAGAGAGAGAGAGAGAGAGAGAGAGAGAGAGAGCACACAAAGACAGAGGTACAGTGGGTTAGGGTTGGGGGTCCCCTTCTCCAACCAGAACTCAAGAATTCACTCAGTCATAATGATCCAGCTGCACTAACATGAAGACAACACTGTTAGAGAACAGAAGGACTAAAATAAGTCATGGAGTCATTTGTCTTGAACATCTGAACAGTTTTTTTTTCTTCTAAACTTTGACTTCCTGTCTTCTCTCATGGCTGTGGTCCTGATATTAGTATCTGTCTGGTTAAAAACAGGCCGTCTGTCAAACCAAAGATCATGTTTGTTTTTGGGGAAGAGAAACATCAAATTACCCTTTAATGAAATATTGTTGATATTTATGTTGTTACAGACTTTCATACTGTGAACTCTCAGAGACTCACTGTGAAGTTGTGGCCTCAGCTCTGAAGTCCAACCCCTCCCATCTGAGACATCTGAACCTGAGCTCAAACGATCTGCAGGATTCAGGAGTGAAGCTTCTCTCTGCAGGACTGGAGAGTCCAAACTGCAGACTGGAGACTCTGATGTGAGACACCATTTCCTTCTGCTCTAACAATAAGATGTGACAGCTGCTGCCTTAGATTTTTCTCTGTGGTTTTTCCATCAACTTTGGTCGAGCAGTTTGAATTTGTCGTTGTAAAACTTCAACACAGGAAGAAAAATCCGACATTTCAGAGTTGACTTTGAGGAGAAGTTGGATGTAGAAAGGAAGCAGGAGAAAATCAGTCCCACAAATATTCAATAAAAAATTCCTCCAGATTTTCCAAAAGTTTAGAGATGATTTTACAAAGTTCCTCCAGATCAACTCTGAAAAAGTTCTTCTTCCATGTCCTTCAGGGTTCAAGAACATTGAATCATTAAAAACAGGAACAGTTTCTTCAGAGGTTCAATTTTTGTAAATATCAACTTTTAGATTTGGAGTTTTAGTCTTTAAATTTCAGAGACATTTTGAACATATTCATGAGTTAATATTAGGGATGGGTCCGAATATTCGGCGCCGAAAATATTCGGCCGAAAAGCATCAAAAATGAATTTTCGGTTTTCGGCCGAATAGATGTTATGGCCGAAAAAAAATCACCGAATAGTGTGGATAAACATGGGTCTAGTATGAACTCTCAAAAACGGAAAACGCAGACGGCGCTGTTTTCCCTGTTTTAGTAGCATGTTGATGACGTAATCGGAACGCGACAAGAGGCAAGCCGGTGTTGTGCCGTAGAAAGCACCCCCGTCGTAGAATGCACCCCCTGCCACCCATCCACTCATTAGCTTCTTAAAGTGGAAAAAAATGACTATTTGATCATTACAACTTTCGATCTGATTTTATCTGTCTCCAAAATGCACATACGGAGGTGTGCTTGGGTATATAAACTACAGTAAACTGTCAAGCTGGCATACATTATATTTTCAGGACAGCAAATATTCTGAATCAGAGGGCTATTTTTTCGGCTCGAATAGCCTGAGTGAAACTATTAAAGGCACACGCTTTTGAATTCATCCAATGGTAAGGAAAACTTGGATTATTTTCGCCTTGTTAAGTACTTTCAACCGCGCTCCCGTCGGGGGTGCATTCTACCGCACAACACCTGCATGCTGATACGAGACACACGATACGTGCAGCTGTCTTGGCTCGAAGCCGTTCAACCGGCGTGTCTGCGGTTTGGAAATATTTGGACATATCAGAGAAAGATGGTCTGATTGCAATTTGTAAACTCTGCTCTGCTGAAGTGTCTCGAGGTGGTGTGACGGCAAAAACTTTCAGTACATCGGGGCTTATCAACCACTTGAGCGCTAAACATAAGGACAAACATGACGAGTTTAAGAAACTCACTGCACAAAAGTTTGCACAATCGTATGTGCATGCATGTAAGTGCATTTATTGTTGAAGGCCTCAGGCCTGGATTTGTGTTTACTGTTGCACAATCATGTATATGCATGCACGTACCTGCATTTATTTTATTTATTTTGCATATGTGCATTTTATTTTATTTACTTTAGGCTATCCTACAGGGAAAATTGCACTTTTTTTGTATTGTTATTGCAAAGATGTTATTTACTTAATTTTATTTTATTGAATGTTATTGTTATAGCATTGTTATGTCATGTCAGCTGAATAAATGTTTCATGGTTCAAACATAAAGTGATTAATATTTAAGTTTGCCAGGTTTTGCCATAATCAGGTAGCTTTAAAACACATGTACGGCAATGACAGCAATTGTACAAAAGTTGCTTGGTGATAAAAATTGATAATTTATATACATATTTATTAATCATATTCGGCTATTCGGTATTCGGTTATTCGGCCAAGTGTTTCTTATATTCAGTATTCGGTTTCGGCCAAGATTTTCCCATTCGGTCCATCCCTAGTTAATATTGATGAATTAATTCTTTTTGACACGTTACAATCATGAGGAGGAAGTCATGGACTAAACTTGGGCTCCCAGTTTCCTTGTTGTTGTTTCTTCAGCTAGCATCATTGTTTTCATCACAGTTATTAAAGTAATAATGATGCTTCATAAATTCAGAGTCACAAAAAAACACCAAACAAACCAAATCTGAAAAAAATCCACTTTTTCATCAAATGAGTTTAATCGGTCAGAACATGAGGTTTGAGTTTTCATGAGGAGGAAACGAGAAAGATCTGCTCTGACAGTGAGAAACACAGACGCCTGAATTTACACTGACAGACAGAGAGAGACAGACAGAGAGACAGACACACAAACACAGACAGAGAGACAGACACACAAACACAGACAGAGACACACAGACACACAAACACAGACAGAGAGAGAGAGACAGACAAACACAGACACACAAACACAGACAGAGAGACAGACACACAAACACAGACAGAGAGAGAGAGACAGACAAGCACAGACAGACAAACACAGAAAGAGAGACAGACACACAAACACAGACAGAGACACAGACACACAAACACAGACACACAAACACAGACAGACACACAGACACACAAACACAGACAGAGAAACACAGACACACAAACACAGACAGAGAGACAGACAGAGAAACACAGACACACAAACACAGAAAGAGACACAGACACACAAACACAGACAGAGAAACACAGACACACAAACACAGACACACAAACACAGACAGAGAGACAGACACACAAACACAGACAGAGAGAGAGAGAGACAGACAAACACAGACAGACAAACACAGACACACAAACACAGACAGAGACACAGACACACAAACACAGACACACAGACACAGACACACAGACAGAGACACAGACACACAAACACAGACACACAGACACAGACAAACAAACACAGACAAACAAACACAGACAGAGACACAGACACACAGACACACAAACACAGACACACAAACACAGACAGAGACACAGACACACAAACACAGACACACAGACAAACAAACACAGACAAACAAACACAGACAGAGACACAGACACACAGACACACAAACACAGACAGAGAAACACAGAAAGAGAGACAGACACACAAACACAGACAGAGACACAGACACACAAACACAGACACACAAACACAGACAGACACACAAACACAGACAGAGACACAGACACACAAACACAGACAGAGAAACACAGACACACAAACACAGACAGAGAGACAGACAGAGAAACACAGACACACAAACACAGAAAGAGACACAGACACACAAACACAGACAGAGAAACACAGACACACAAACACAGACACACAAACACAGACAGAGACACAGACAGAGACACAGACACACAAACACAGACACACACAAACACAGACACACAAACACAGACACACACAAACACAGACACACAAACACAGACACACAAACACAGACACACAAACACAGACACACAAACACAGACAGAGACACAGACACACAAACACAGACACACAGACACAGACAAACAAACACAGACAAACAAACACAGACAGAGACACAGACACACAGACACACAAACACAGACAGAGAAACACAGACACACAGACACACAAACACAGACACACAAACACAGACAGAGAAACACAGACACACAAACACAGACACACAGAGATGTTCCTCTTTGTCTCTTTGCTGTGATGACTGAAGTCACAAAAACAAAGTTTTCTTCGTCACTTTTATGATTGAACCAAAGAAGTTAAAGAACCAAACTCTCAGATTTTCTTCTTCTCAATATTATTTGAACCATTTAGATTTTTCTCCTGATCAATATTCAATGATCAGATTGATCAGGTTCCTGTTTTGGCTCCAGCCTGGTTGAGGGAGGTGGGCTCAGTGTCCTGGGTGACTCTCTCTGAGCTCTTCTTGGTTGAGAGTATTTCTGGTTTGTCTCTGACTTCCATGAACTCAGATCTGGAGGATTGCTGGCTGGTCCGGTCCAGTTCTGACAGTAGAGACAACACAGTCTGTTATTCTGGGTTGAGTGTTCTTGTTGAAGATCAGTGTACAGTGAGGGATGAAGGCAGACAAAGATCCTCCTGTTTCCTCCATGTCACAGTTCAAGTTCATTTTGAAGACTTTGATTGATCCGAGCGCTGAAGAGGAACAGGAAACGAGGAGTAGAGAGTGAGGGAGGACTTACAGCAAAGGATCATGGGAGTCCAACCAGCAACTGCTGCAACAAGGACTCCACCTTCTGAACACCTGAACCTCTAATCCAAACCAGTGCTCCATCACAGTTGATGTCTTGTCTGTTATTTTACATGGAGGGTCAGAGCAGACCAGATCATGAGCTCTGACAGACTGGATCTGGTCCAAAGGTCTCCTGTTGGAGTTCTCTAAGCTCCATATTTTAAACCTGAACACCTGAAGTTTGATTATTAATTATTTTTATCTTCATTCTCTTTCCTTTTTTCAGACTGAGGAGCTGCAGTTTGTCAGAGATCAGCTGTTCTTCTCTGGCCTCAGCTCTGAAGTCCAACCCCTCCCATCTGAGACATCTGGACCTGAGTGGAAACAATCTGCAGGATTCAGGAGTGAAGCTTCTCTCTGCAGGACTGGAGAGTCCAAACTGCAGACTGGAGACTCTGATGTGAGACACCATTTCCTTCTGATCTAACAATAAGATGTGACAGCTGCTGCCTTAGATTTTTCTCTGTGGTTTTTCCATCAACTTTGGTCGAGCAGTTTGAATTTGTCGTTGTAAAACTTCAACACAGGAAGAAAAATCCCACATTTCAGAGTTGACTTTGAGGAGAACGATGGATGTAGAAAGGAAGCAGGAGAAAATCAGTCCCACAAATATGAAATAAAAAATTCCTCCAGATTTTCCAAAAGTTTAGAGATGATTTTACAAAGTTCCTCCAGATCAACTCTGAAAAGTTCTTCTTCCATGTCCTTCAGGGTTCAAGAACATTGAATCATTAAAAACAGGAACAGTTTCTTCAGAGGTTCAATTTTTGTAAATATCAACTTTTAGATTTGGAGTTTTAGTCTTTAAATTTCAGAGACATTTTGAACATATTCATGAGTTAATATTGATGAATTACAACCATATCATACTGATATCAGACAGGAGTGTGACAGGTGTTTATTAGTCTTTTTGACACGTTACAATCATGAGGAGAAAGTCATGGACTAAACTTGGGCTCCCAGTTTCCTTGTTGTTGTTTCTTCAGCTAGCATCATTGTTTTCATCACAGTTCTTAAAGTAATAATGATGCTTCATAAATTCAGAGTCACAAAAAAACACCAAACAAACCAAATCTGAAAAAAATCCACTTTTTCATCAAATGAGTTTAATCGGTCAGAACATGAGGTTTGAGTTTTCATGAGGAGGAAACGAGAAAGATCTGCTCTGACAGAAACACAGACGCCTGAATTTACACTGACAGACAGAGAGACACAGACAGAGACACAGACACACAAATACAGACAGAGACACAGACACACAAACACAGACAGAGAGACAGACAGAGAGACACAAACACACAAACACAGACAGAGAGACAGACAGAGAGACACAAACACACAAACACAGACAGAGAGACAGACACACAAACACAGACACACAAACACAGACACACAAAGACAGACAGAGACACACAAACACAGACAGAGAGACACAGACACACAAACACAGACACTCAGAGATGTTCCTCTTTGTCTCTTTGCTCTGATGACTGAAGTCACAAAAACAAAGTTTTCTTCGTCACTTTTATGATTGAACCAAAGAAGTTAAAGAACCAAACTCTCCGATTTTCTTCTTCTCAATATTATTTGAACCATTTAGATTTTTCTCCTGATCAATATTCAATGATCAGATTGATCAGGTTCCTGTTTTGGCTCCAGCCTGGTTGAGGGAGGTGGGCTCAGTGTCCTGGGTGACTCTCTCTGAGCTCTTCTTGGTTGAGAGTATTTCTGGTTTGTCTCTGACTTCCATGAACTCAGATCTGGAGGATTGCTGGCTGGTCCGGTCCAGTTCTGACAGTAGAGACAACACAGTCTGTTATTCTGGGTTGAGTGTTCTTGTTGAAGATCAGTGTACAGTGAGGGATGAAGGCAGACAAAGATCCTCCTGTTTCCTCCATGTCACAGTTCAAGTTCATTTTGAAGACTTTGATTGATCCGAGCGCTGAAGAGGAACAGGAAACGTGGAGTAGAGAGTGAGGGAGGACTTACAGCAAAGGATCATGGGAGTCCAACCAGCAACTGCTGCAACAAGGACTCCACCTTCTGAACAGCTGAACCTCTAATCCAAACCAGTGCTCCATCACATTTGATGTCTTGTCTGTTATTTTATATGGAGGGTCAGAGCAGACCAGATCATGAGCTCTGACAGACTGGATCTGGTCCAAAGGTCTCCTGTTGGAGTTCTCTAAGCTCCATATTTTAAACCTGAACACCTGAAGTTTGATTATTAATTATCTTTATCTTCATTCTCTTTCCTTTTTTCAGACTGAGGAGCTGCAGTTTGTCAGAGATCAGCTGTTCTTCTCTGGCCTCAGCTCTGAAGTCCAACCCCTCCCATCTGAGACATCTGGACCTGAGCAGAAACAAACTGCAGGATTCAGGAGTGAATCTTCTCTCTGCAGGACTGGAGAGTCCAAACTGCAGACTGGAGACTCTGATGTGAGACACCATTTCCTTCTGATCTAACAATAAGATGTGACAGCTGCTGCCTTAGATTTTTCTCTGTGGTTTTTCCATCAACTTTGGTCGAGCAGTTTGAATTTGTCGTTGTAAAACTTCAACACAGGAAGAAAAATCCGACATTTCAGAGTTGACTTTGAGGAGAACGATGGATGTAGAAAGGAAGCAGGAGAAAATCAGTCCCACAAATATGAAATAAAAAATTCCTCCAGATTTTCCAAAAGTTTAGAGATGATTTTACAAAGTTCCTCCAGATCAACTCTGAAAAAGTTCTTCTTCCATGTCCTTCAGGGTTCAAGAACATTGAATCATTAAAAACAGGAACAGTTTCTTCAGAGGTTCAATTTTTTTAAATATCAACTTTTAGACTTGGACTTTTAGTCTTTAAATTTCAGAGACATTTTGAACATATTCATGAGTTAATATTGATGAATTACAACCATATCATACTGATATCAGACAGGAGTGTGACAGGTGTTTATTAGTCTTTTTGACACGTTACAATCATGAGGAGAAAGTCATGGACTAAACTTGGGCTCCCAGTTTCCTTGTTGTTGTTTCTTCAGCTAGCATCATTGTTTTCATCACAGTTATTAAAGTAATAATGATGCTTCATAAATTCAGAGTCACAAAAAAACACCAAACAAACCAAATCTGAAAAAAATCCACTTTTTCATCAAATGAGTTTAATCGGTCAGAACATGAGGTTTGAGTTTTCATGAGGAGGAAACGAGAAAGATCTGCTCTGACAGTTAGAAACACAGACGCCTGAATTTACACTGACAGACAGAGAGACACAGACAGAGAGACAGACACACAAACACAGACAGAGAGACAGACACACAAACACAGACAGAGAGACACAGACACAAACACAGACAGAGACACAGACACACAAACACAGACAGAGAGACACAGACACACAAACACAGACAGAGACACAGATACACAAACACAGACAGAGAGACACAGACACACAAACACAGACAGAGAGACACAGACACACAAACACAGACAGAGACACACAAACACAGACAGACAGAGAGACAGACACACAAACACAGACAGAGACACAGACACACAAACACAGACAGACAGAGACACAGACACACAAACACAGACAGAGAGACACAGACACACAAACACAGATGCCTGAATTTACACTCACAGACAGAGAGACACAGACACACAAACACAGACAGAGACACAGACACACAAACACAGACAGACACAAACACAGACGTCTGAATTTACACTGACAGACACACAAACAGACAGAGAGACAGACACACAAACACAGACAGAGACAGACACACAAACACAGACACACAAACACAAACACACAAACACAGACAGAGGGACACAGACACACAGACAGAGACACAGACACACAAACACAGACAGAGACACAGACACACAGACAGAGAGACAGACACACAAACACAGACAGAGACACAGACACACAAACACAGACAGACAGAGACACAGACACACAAACACAGACAGAGAGACACAGACACACAAACACAGACGCCTGAATTTACACTCACAGACAGAGAGACACAGACACACAAACACAGACAGACACACAGACACACAAACACAGACAGACACAAACACAGACAGACAGAGAGACAGACACACAAACATAGACACAGACAGAGACACAGACACACAAACACAAACACACAAACACAGACAGAGGGACACAGACACAAAGACAGGGACACAGACACACAGACAGAGGGACACAGACACACAGACAGAGACACAGACACACAAACACAGACACAGATACACAAACACAGACAGAGACACAGACACACAGACACAGACAGACAAACACAGACACACAAAGACAGACAGAGAGACACAGACACACAGACACAGACAGACAAACACAGACACACAAACACAGACAGAGAGACACAGACACACAAACACAGACAGAGAAACACAGACACACAGACACAGACACACAAACACAGACAGAGACACAGACACACAAACACAGACACACAAACACAGACACTCAGAGATGTTCCTCTTTGTCTCTTTGCTGTGATGACTGAAGTCACAAAAACAAAGTTTTCTTTGTCACTTTTATGATTGAACCAAAGAAGTTAAAGAACCAAACTCTCAGATTTTCTTCTTCTCAATATTATTTGAACCATTTAGATTTTTATCCTGATCAATATTCAATGATCAGATTGATCAGGTTCCTGTTTTGGCTCCAGCCTGGTTGAGGGAGGTGGGCTCAGTGTCCTGGGTGACTCTCTCTGAGCTCTTCTTGGTTGAGAGTATTTCTGGTTTGTCTCTGACTTCCATGAACTCAGATCTGGAGGATTGCTGGCTGGTCCGGTCCAGTTCTGACAGTAGAGACAACACAGTCTGTTATTCTGGGTTGAGTGTTCTTGTTGAAGATCAGTGTACAGTGAGGGATGAAGGCAGACAAAGATCCTCCTGTTTCCTCCATGTCACAGTTCAAGTTCATTTTGAAGACTTTGATTGATCCGAGCGCTGAAGAGGAACAGGAAACGTGGAGTAGAGAGTGAGGGAGGACTTACAGCAAAGGATCATGGGAGTCCAACCAGCAACTGCTGCAACAAGGACTCCACCTTCTGAACAGCTGAACCTCTAATCCAAACCAGTGCTCCATCACATTTGATGTCTTGTCTGTTATTTTATATGGAGGGTCAGAGCAGACCAGATCATGAGCTCTGACAGACTGGATCTGGTCCAAAGGTCTCCTGTTGGAGTTCTCTAAGCTCCATATTTTAAACCTGAACACCTGAAGTTTGATTATTAATTATTTTTATCTTCATTCTCTTTCCTTTTTTCAGACTGTTGGACTGCAGTTTGTCAGAGATCAGCTGTTCTTCTCTGGCCTCAGCTCTGAAGTCCAACCCCTCCCATCTGAGACATCTGGACCTGAGCAGAAACAAACTGCAGGATTCAGGAGTGAAGCTTCTCTCTGCAGGACTGGAGAGTCCAAACTGCAGACTGGAGACTCTGAAGTGAGACACCATTTCCTTCTGATCTAACAATAAGATGTGACAGCTGCTGCCTTAGATTTTTCTCTGTGGTTTTTCCATCAACTTTGGTCGAGCAGTTTGAATTTGTCGTTGTAAAACTTCAACACAGGAAGAAAAATCCCACATTTCAGAGTTGACTTTGAGGAGAACGATGGATGTAGAAAGGAAGCAGGAGAAAATCAGTCCCACAAATATGAAATAAAAAATTCCTCCAGATTTTCCAAAAGTTTAGAGATGATTTTACAAAGTTCCTCCAGATCAACTCTGAAAAAGTTCTTCTTCCATGTCCTTCAGGGTTCAAGAACATTGAATCATTAAAAACAGGAACAGTTTCTTCAGAGGTTCAATTTTTGTAAATATCAACTTTTAGATTTGGAGTTTTAGTCTTTAAATTTCAGAGACATTTTGAACATATTCATGAGTTAATATTGATGAATTACAACCATATCATACTGATATCAGACAGGAGTGTGACAGGTGTTTATTAGTCTTTTTGACACGTTACAATCATGAGGAGAAAGTCATGGACTAAACTTGGGCTCCCAGTTTCCTTGTTGTTGTTTCTTCAGCTAGCATCATTGTTTTCATCACAGTTATTAAAGTAATAATGATGCTTCATAAATTCAGAGTCACAAAAAAACACCAAACAAACCAAATCTGAAAAAAATCCACTTTTTCATCAAATGAGTTTAATCGGTCAGAACATGAGGTTTGAGTTTTCATGAGGAGGAAACGAGAAAGATCTGCTCTGACAGTGAGAAACACAGACGCCTGAATTTACACTGACAGACAGAGAGAGAAAGACAGAGACACAGACACACAAACACAGACAGAGAGACAGACACACAAACACAGACAGAGAGACACAGACACAAACACAGACAGAGAGAGAGAGACAGACAAACACAGACACACAAACACAGACAGAGAGACAGACACACAAACACAGACAGAGAGAGAGAGACAGACAAACACAGACAGACAAACACAGACACACAAACACAGACAGAGACACAGACACACAAACACAGACACACAGACACAGACACACAGACAGAGACACAGACACACAAACACAGACAGAGAGACACAGACACACAAACACAGACAGAGACACAGATACACAAACACAGACAGAGAGACACAGACACACAAACACAGACAGAGAGACACAGACACACAAACACAGACAGAGACACAGACACACAAACACAGACAGACAGAGAGACAGACACACAAACACAGACAGAGACACAGACACACAAACACAGACAGACAGAGACACAGACACACAAACACAGACAGAGAGACACAGACACACAAACACAGACGCCTGAATTTACACTCACAGACAGAGAGACACAGACACACAAACACAGACAGAGACACAGACACACAAACACAGACAGACACAAACACAGACGTCTGAATTTACACTGACAGACACACAAACAGACAGAGAGACAGACACACAAACACAGACAGAGACAGACACACAAACACAGACACACAAACACAAACACACAAACACAGACAGAGGGACACAGACACACAGACAGAGACACAGACACACAGACAGAGGGACACAGACACACAGACAGAGACACAGACACACAAACACAGACACAGAGACACACAAACACAGACAGAGACACAGACACACAAACACAGACACAGACAGACAAACACAGACACACAAACACAGACAGAGAGACACAGACACACAGACACAGACAGACAAACACAGACACAAACACAGACACACAAACACAGACAGAGAGACACAGACACACAAACACAGACAGAGAAACACAGACACACATAAACACAGACAGAGACACAGACACACAGAGACACAGACACACAAACACAGACACACAAACACAGACTCACAAACACAGACAGAGACACAGACACAGACAGAGAGACACGGACACACAGACACAGACACACAAACACAGACACACAAACACAGACACACAAACACAGACAGAGACACAGACACACAAACACAGACAGAGACACAGACACACAAACACAGACAGAGACACAGACACACAAACACAGACACACAGACACAGACAAACAAACACAGACAGAGACACAGACACACAGACACACAAACACAGACAGAGAAACACAGACACACAAACACAGACACACAAACACAGACACACAAACACAGACACACAAACACAGACACACAGAGATGTTCCTCTTCGTCTCTTTGCTGTGATGACTGAAGTCACAAAAACAAAGTTTTCTTCATCACTTTTATGATTGAACCAAAGAAGTTAAAGAACCAAACTCTCAGATTTTCTTCTTCTCAATATTATTTGAACCATTTAGATTTTTCTCCTGATCAATATTCAATGATCAGATTGATCAGGTTCCTGTTTTGGCTCCAGCCTGGTTGAGGGAGGTGGGCTCAGTGTCCTGGGTAACTCTCTCTGAGCTCTTCTTGGTTGAGAGTATTTCTGGTTTGTCTCTGACTTCCATGAACTCAGATCTGGAGGATTGCTGGCTGGTCCGGTCCAGTTCTGACAGTAGAGACAACACAGTCTGTTATTCTGGGTTGAGTGTTCTTGTTGAAGATCAGTGTACAGTGAGGGATGAAGGCAGACAAAGATCCTCCTGTTTCCTCCATGTCACAGTTCAAGTTCATTTTGAAGACTTTGATTGATCCGAGCGCTGAAGAGGAACAGGAAACGTGGAGTAGAGAGTGAGGGAGGACTTACAGCAAAGGATCATGGGAGTCCAACCAGCAACTGCTGCAACAAGGACTCCACCTTCTGATCACCTGAACCTCTAATCCAAACCAGTGCTCCATCACATTTGATGTCTTGTCTGTTATTTTACATGGAGGGTCAGAGCAGACCAGATCATGAGCTCTGACAGACTGGATCTGGTCCAAAGGTCTCCTGTTGGAGTTCTCTAAGCTCCATATTTTAAACCTGAACACCTGAAGTTTGATAATTAATTATTTTTATCTTCATTCTCTTTCCTTTTTTCAGACTGTTGGACTGCAGTTTGTCAGAGATCAGCTGTTCTTCTCTGGCCTCAGCTCTGAAGTCCAACCCCTCCCATCTGAGACATCTGGACCTGAGTGGAAACAATCTGCAGGATTCAGGAGTGAAGCTTCTCTCTGCAGGACTGGAGAGTCCAAACTGCAGACTGGAGACTCTGAAGTGAGACACCATTTCCTTCTGATCTAACAATAAGATGTGACAGCTGCTGCCTTAGATTTTTCTCTGTGGTTTTTCCATCAACTTTGGTCGAGCAGTTTGAATTTGTCGTTGTAAAACTTCAACACAGGAAGAAAAATCCGACATTTCAGAGTTGACTTTGAGGAGAACGATGGATGTAGAAAGGAAGCAGGAGAAAATCAGTCCCACAAATATGAAATAAAAAATTCCTCCAGATTTTCCAAAAGTTTAGAGATGATTTTACAAAGTTCCTCCAGATCAACTCTGAAAAAGTTCTTCTTCCATGTCCTTCAGGGTTCAAGAACATTGAATCATTAAAAACAGGAACAGTTTCTTCAGAGGTTCAATTTTTTTAAATATCAACTTTTAGACTTGGACTTTTAGTCTTTAAATTTCAGAGACATTTTGAACATATTCATGAGTTAATATTGATGAATTACAACCATATCATACTGATATCAGACAGGAGTGTGACAGGTGTTTATTAGTCTTTTTGACACGTTACAATCATGAGGAGAAAGTCATGGACTAAACTTGGGCTCCCAGTTTCCTTGTTGTTGTTTCTTCAGCTAGCATCATTGTTTTCATCACAGTTATTAAAGTAATAATGATGCTTCATAAATTCAGAGTCACAAAAAAACACCAAACAAACCAAATCTGAAAAAAATCCACTTTTTCATCAAATGAGTTTAATCGGTCAGAACATGAGGTTTGAGTTTTCATGAGGAGGAAACGAGAAAGATCTGCTCTGACAGTGAGAAACACAGACGCCTGAATTTACACTGACAGACAGAGAGACACAGACAGAGAGACAGACACACAAACACAGACAGAGAGACAGACACACAAACACAGACAGAGAGACACAGACACAAACACAGACAGAGACACAGACACACAAACACAGACAGAGAGACACAGACACACAAACACAGACAGAGACACAGATACACAAACACAGACAGAGAGACACAGACACACAAACACAGACAGAGAGACACAGACACACAAACACAGACGGAGACACAGACACACAAACACAGACAGACAGAGAGACAGACACACAAACACAGACAGAGACACAGACACACAAACACAGACAGACAGAGACACAGACACACAAACACAGACAGAGAGACACAGACACACAAACACAGACGCCTGAATTTACACTCACAGACAGAGAGACACAGACACACAAACACAGACAGAGACACAGACACACAAACACAGACAGACACAAACACAGACGTCTGAATTTACACTGACAGACACACAAACAGACAGAGAGACAGACACACAAACACAGACAGAGACAGACACACAAACACAGACACACAAACACAAACACACAAACACAGACAGAGGGACACAGACACACAGACAGAGACACAGACACACAGACAGAGGGACACAGACACACAGACAGAGACACAGACACACAAACACAGACACAGATACACAAACACAGACAGAGACACAGACACACAAACACAGACACACAGACACAGACAGACAAACACAGACACACAAACACAGACAGAGAGACACAGACACAGACAGACAAACACAGACACACAAACACAGACACACAAACACAGACAGAGAGACACAGACACACAAACACAGACAGAGAAACACAGACACACATAAACACAGACAGAGACACAGACACACAGAGACACAGACACACAAACAAAGACACACAAACACAGACTCACAAACACAGACAGAGACACAGACACAGACAGAGAGACACGGACACACAGACACAGACAGACAAACACAGACACACAAACACAGACACACAAACACAGACAGAGACACAGACACACAAACAGAGACACAGACACACAAACACAGACACACAAACACAGACAGAGACACAGACACACAAACACAGACAGAGACACAGACACAAACACAGACAGAGACACAGACACACAAACACAGACAGAGAGACACAGACACACAAACACAGACAGAGACACAGACACACAAACACAGACAGAGAGACACAGACACACAAACACAGACAGAGAGACACAGACACACAAACACAGACAGAGACACAGACACACAAACACAGACAGACAGAGAGACAGACACACAAACACAGACAGAGAAACACAGACACACAGACACACAAACACAGACACACAAACACAGACACAGACACACAAACACAGACACACAAACACAGACACTCAGAGATGTTCCTCTTTGTCTCTTTGCTGTGATGACTGAAGTCACAAAAACAAAGTTTTCTTTGTCACTTTTCTGATTGAACCAACGAAGTTAAAGAACCAAACTCTCAGATTTTCTTCTTCTCAATATTATTTGAACCATTTAGATTTTTCTCCTGATCAATATTCAATGATCAGATTGATCAGGTTCCTGTTTTGGCTCCAGCCTGGTTGAGGGAGGTGGGCTCAGTGTCCTGGGTGACTCTCTCTGAGCTCTTCTTGGTTGAGAGTATTTCTGGTTTGTCTCTGACTTCCATGAACTCAGATCTGGAGGATTGCTGGCTGGTCCGGTCCAGTTCTGACAGTAGAGACAACACAGTCTGTTATTCTGGGTTGAGTGTTCTTGTTGAAGATCAGTGTACAGTGAGGGATGAAGGCAGACAAAGATCCTCCTGTTTCCTCCATGTCACAGTTCAAGTTCATTTTGAAGACTTTGATTGATCCAAGCGCTGAAGAGGAACAGGAAACGTGGAGTAGAGAGTGAGGGAGGACTTACAGCAAAGGATCATGGGAGTCCAACCAGTAACTGCTGCAACAAGGACTCCACCTTCTGAACATCTGAACCTCTAATCCAAACCAGTGCTCCATCACATTTGATGTCTTGTCTGTTATTTTACATGGAGGGTCAGAGCAGACCAGATCATGAGCTCTGACAGACTGGATCTGGTCCAAAGGTCTCCTGTTGGAGTTCTCTAAGCTCCATATTTTAAACCTGAACACCTGAAGTTTGATTATTAATTATTTTTATCTTCATTCTCTTTCCTTTTTTCAGACTGTGGCGCTGCAGTTTGTCAGAGATCAGCTGTTCTTCTCTGGTCTCAGCTCTGAAGTCCAACCCCTCCCATCTGAGACATCTGGACCTGAGTTTCAACAAGCTGCAGGATTCAGGAGTGAAGCTGCTGTGTGACTTTCTGCAGAGTCCAAACTGTAAACTCGAGACTCTAGAGTGAGACGTTTTTCCTCCATTCAAACATGATCATGATTTGTTTGTGATGATGACACTAAACTGCTGACTCAGGACTGAAATACTGACCCAGACTGAACACCTTCAGTCCAGAGTAGATTTTCTGCATCAGTGGATTATTTGATTGACTCCAGTTAGATCACTGCTGAGCTCCAGTGAATTAAAACCTGAACCCAAGAAGAAAACTCTTTGTAGAGTTCACAGTGAGAAGCTCATTCAGACAGAAAACAGAAGCAGGGGGAGATTTGTCAGACGAGAACCATTCAAACTTTTGTTCAGGACAAGATCAGGGACTAGAAAAAACTCAGAGTTTAGTTTCTGACTCTGATGAAAGTCCAGCTCTGTTACTTTGAATTTTGTTTTTGAATCTTTGTGTGAAAATCTGAATTTTCTGGTTTATCTTCACTTTTCTGAAGCCTTGCTGTGTTTAGACTGAAATATTTACCTCTCAAAGACGTGATATTTTTGGTTCAGCAAAGTGAAAATATTCTGAACATCCTTTATTTCCCATCCGTCCTGAAGTCGCTGACATTTTCTAAAAATATTGATCTGCATCTACAATCAGTAAAAAAGTCTCTGAGTTTTTTATTTCACTATTTCATGTGTTTTTGAATTCACTGTTTCAAACTGACTTCCTGTTTGGTTCAGCTCTTTGGAGCGTCACTTTTCTTTGATTCATACTTTCCAAACCTTTCCTCTGAACTCTACAGATTTAAGACATCAGGTTTCAAACTGGATCATTTTTCTCTAAAATCTCATTATTTCCTCTTTATTTAGGTTGTGGAGCTGCAGTTTGACAAAGATCAGCTGTTCTTCTCTGGCCTCAGCTCTGAAGTCCAACCCCTCCCATCTGAAAACTCTGTGGCTGTATTACAACAATCTGCAGGATTCAGACATGAAGCTGCTGTGTGATCTTCAGAAGAGTCCAGACTACAGACTGGAGACTCTGAAGTCAGTATAGAGTTGGAGTTAGTCTGTGCTGATCTCTCCTGTTCCTCTCCACACAGTATCACAGCAGATATTCAGTATTTCCTGCTGACTCTTCGACCCTCTCAGAGGATTATCTCTTTAGTGAAGCTGTGAGAACAGAAATCATCAAACCAGGAGTGTAAGAGTGTCAGTGATGAAAAAAGTGTCTCCTCGTCTCTATATTTCAGATCAAATGTAGAAATGAGACATAATGAAACAGAAATGTTCAGTTTCTGCTCTGAAGTCCAGTTTATAGTTCTCTGTATTCAACACAGACTTTATTTCTCTGCTAACTTGTTGATTTTGACCTCTAAGTCTGAAAACAGACAGCTGTTCTTTATACTTGTTATTTTCACAGCAGGTTTGTTCGATCAGCTTTAACACATTTGACAGGAATGATTTCTTTATTTTGATGATGTTGGTTTATTTGTGAGGAAACCTGCTGCTTTACACCATCACTTCTGGTCTGAGCAGGACTGAGACCTGCTGGTCTGTAAACTGGATGTTCTTCAGTCCAGCTGATGAAGTGAGTCTCAGAGTGGAAACACTGATCGTCTGTTTTTATCTCCTCAGATGGAGTTAACATCTGTCAGAGTGATGAAGAAGAGGATCATGTGTTTCCTGATGATCAGAGAGGTGGAGGCAGCAGCAGTGAGGGTGAGGTGAGTCTCTGACTGAGAGACTGACTGACCAATCACAGTGGGCGGAGAGGACTCTGGGAGCTGCACTTTGACCTGCTCTGAGATCAGCTCAGGACCTGGACTCTGGATATTTGATCTTTTCCTTCATATTCTGGGATCAAACAGTCTGAACAGGTTTGTTTTGTTGATGGAAACATGATCATAAATTTACACTTTGATTGGATTACTTTGTTTTTACCATGATGCAGCGCCACCCAGTGGAAATATATTGAGGTGGAGTTGATTTATTCCCACATGTTTCTGCAGCAAGAGTTGATACCATGTGTGAGAGTCGATCAGTCAGAAGTTCAGATTAAACCCAAAGGCTTTTTCTTTCCTTTTCACCGTTAGAGACCGAATATAAACTGAAGGGAGAGGAAGAGAAGTGAGGAGAGATGGAGGTGAAGGGAGGAGGAGGAGGAGGACAGGGTTTGGGGTTTGAACAAAAATCTGAAGCTTTATTCTTTCACTTGATTATTTTTATTCTTCCGTTTTCTTCTTCAGTTTCTGAAATGATTGTAAATATTGATTGGAGGTAAAAAGTAAAATGTGTGAAATATAATCAAAGACAAAAACATAGAACTATTGTGAACAGATCTGTCCTCTTCAGCTTATCTAGTATCCATAGATCTATGCTCTGTCTGTGTAACTCTATGTTGGTTCTTCATTTACACCAGATCATTTTTGATTTCATGTCACTGTAACAATGTCATTTAAAGATAATAAAAACTTTATTTGAACCAAAACATGTTAAAAACATCAACTCAGCTTGTTTCAGTCACTGTGTCCAATTGATTATTATTTTTCATTCAAACAGAAACTAGATTTGGTCTTTAAAAAGTCCTCAAAGTGAGTCTGAAAAGTGGAGGAAGGTTTTCTCATCAGGGTGCTCCTATATTCAGGTCAATAAGGTAGTGGATCATAGAGACTCAAAGCCTTGATTCAGCTGAGGCTGGAGGACGCTGCGTGAAGGAAAGTCGGTGTGTTTAGTTGGTCTTAGTTTCTATTAAACAGGAACTTTGATTTGATCGTCTTTTCTTGGAAATCAAACTTCCTGTTGGACTCAAAGATAAAGTCTGTGATCCCCGTCAGGTTTGAAGACTTCAGTCTCACAGCAGAGGGATTGTGGCTCTGAGTCGGGATGTTTGGACATTTGTTTCATGTGTTTTCATCTGTGATATTCTCTCTAAGGTTATTGTTCATTCAAAGTATGTGGAGGACAAATCCACACATCCAACAAAAAAAGGTCAAAGATGTAGATTGGAGATTTCTGCATGACATCGACGATATTCTAGATTTAGTTGTCTAAGCGAACAGGTGTAGTCTCTTATTGGGGGGTTATTTATATATAGATATATAGATCTAGATATCTCACAGAACAGATATACAGAAAGGCAACATGAGAAAGATATTTATATTGAAATGAATACATACATGTTGATGTGATGTGTTATTATAGTCATCACTTTAATAGAAATATTATTCATATAACAGACACTGAATGATTGTTTAAACCATCTAAAATGGAAACATGAGGCAGATATTTATGTTGAAAATAAATACATATATTGTTTTGTATCAGAGCGTGAGGCAAAGTGTGTCAGACTGAATCAAGTTTTATTGAATCCCTTCAGGTTCCTGTTAACAGTGTAACAGCATCATCTACATATCCGTGAGCTGGACCCCTTCGTCTGTGAACACCTGGATCTGAAGTGAAGCTCAGTGACCAGGTGCTGGTGGTTGATTCCTCACTTAACCTGAGACAGCCTCTGCTGTTCATCTTTCCTGAGTTCAGATGTTCAGTCTCTGTAAATAAGCCTTCCCTTCTTCTTCTTCTTCTGATCATTTCAGGCATGTTTGGGTGTTTGATGAAGTTTTCTTGAGGCAAACAGAAAAAAATGACATCCTGTTTAACAAAGTAACATGAAGCTGGTCTTTGCTTGTCTTCTCTTACTGTTAAATACTAAAGTACATTTATTTTTAACTGTTTTCTTTATTTGATAAAAGTATGGAAAACTCACGATACTCTGAATATTCTCTCAGGAGACATTTACAAATGATCATTTCTTGTATGTCAAAGATTTGGGAGGTTTTCCTGTTTATCTATCTATCCTATCTATGTTGAAGACTTGGATCAAATAAAGCCACTCTAGCTTATTTATGTGACTTTCTTTGTCATTTACCTGCAGTCCTATTTTTTACTTGATGTTATTGTACTGCTCTTTGTTTGGCCCTAAATTTTGAGGAAATACAACAAAGTGAAATTTTAATGTTCAGCAGATTAAAGGGACACATTTTTAGGAACCAAGTTATTCACAGCATCATTATTTACTCATCATTAACTTCCCTCTTGAGGATCTGAACAGTCTGATGTTACTGTACCCTAAATGATCTTTCTTTGTCTGTCTCCTTATAGAGCAAAGACATGGGGACAGGTTTAATCATTCTGGCATAAATGAAAGCTGTTTTTGTCTGAAATGTTGATATTGAATATACAGGTGTCACAGAGCAGAGTTCAGCAGGTTATTCAGTCTGGGTTTCCTGTTGGTGAGACTGTGTGCAGTAATCCATGTGCTCTGATCTGTTTTCATAAGGACATCAGAATAAACTCTGAGGACGTTTGGAGCCATCTGCTGGCTGACATGAGATCTACAAGTTCAGATTTAATAGTGCCAGACAGAGTCAGAGATTTGACTCACATCACAGCATTTAAGGAGTAAACAGAGAGTTTGACAGAAAAGTTATAGATGTAAAAAGTCACTGAAAATCACGAAGAAATAAAACACTAGAGTGGCTAATGACTAAAAGTTGACATGTTAGATTTCCACTTTTTAAAAATCTGCTCCGTTATAAACCAAAACCAGGATCCTTTCTCATCCTGTTGTGTCAAACTCTATGAAAATGTCCCCCATTAAAAACACTGTGAACATCATTGATTGGTTGATGTCTTTATTTTGTACATGTAAAATCAAATTTGAATTACAGCTGAGTGAAAAAAAAAGAAAAAACAAACAAAAAGAAATCAAAAAGTTCCATCAGCGAGACAAAAACATTATTTTACACGTGCAAAAGGGAGGAGGAAGAAGTTCAGACTTTATGAATCCTACCCCGTTTGAATCATGAAACAGAAAAGTAAAAACTATTCTTTATAGTAATTGTCAAACTTGTAGTGGGTGTTGGTGGTCTACAGGATTGTGCATTATATTAACAGTTGTTCCCTAATATTCTGCTCCCCTTATGTTTGTAATTGAAGAGGACAAAGTATAAGAAACAGCTTCTAATAAGACTCCAGTTCACCGCCCCCACTGTCTTTGTCTTCAAATATTAATATAAATGAATTTAAGCTTTAATTATCAGATATCTGTGTTCATAGGTCAATGATCGATCTATCTATCTATCTATCTATCTATCTATCTATCTATCTATCTATCTAAAGTCTATTTTTTTTTATTATTGAATTAACGTCAATAAATTTGCATTCATTTTGAGCGTTCGTGGTTTAATCAATAATTTGTATTGTATTTGTTGATAATAACTGTTAAATTATTTTACTCTCTAATTTCAAATAGATAACCCCGCCCACCAACAGAACCTTTAAAACCGGTTTGAACCGGTTCAACAGGCGGTCAACTGGTACCGGCTAAAGTGAACGAATTCATGGATATTCACGGTGAGTTATCAAGTCACGGATTAAATTATCATATATTTATTGGAATTACGTTAATGTCGGAGTTTTTATCCACATTATATGTTTTTTTTAGAGTTTCTCTGTCGGTCTTCCGAGGACACCGACACAGAGTTAGCTACCTGACGAACTCCGGGAGAGGTAACGTTGATCTTTCTGTATTTTTATGTTTCAGTAAAGGCGTCTGAGCTCCAAGCTTTCAGTTTTCATGTTAATGTTATTAAATTTGTAGTAGAGATCCTGAAATAACCGTGTATCTGCTTTCTGTGAGCTAACACAGGTATCTGACGTTAGTAAGTTCAGCTAACATTATTAAGCTAACGTTCATTTTGAATTGGATCGTCATTTGATCCGTGTTAATCCCTCCCTAACCCCCGAACTCATGTGATCCGAAAATTCACGCAAATACAGGGTTTTTCCTGCGTTCAAAATTGCGTGGCGGCCGCCTCCACCTAATTTTGTGCCGCCCCCAGCCAGAGCGATTGATTTCGCTCAACACAGCGTAAAGCTCCAGCTGTGTTGATTGAGTGTATGATGTCCCTCTGCAGCAGCAACGTATTTTAACTGCAGTTGCAGCGTTGCGCCACTGTAGAGGCGCTATATCAACAGCAGTGCATCGGAAAGACCTGAAGCATCTACCGAAGAAGAAACGGATCGAATCATGTTTTTTCAAGTTTTTTTCCCGCTAGTTGGTGCTATCGGCGTCCTGATTTTCCCCGGCGGCTGGTACAAACAGGTAAATACTGCTTGTCTTTTTTGCATCCAAGCATGTCGTGTTTATTAAAAAAAAAGTTTCCTCCGTTTTTTTAGCGTTGCAGATATGACGGGCAAAATCAGCCAGTACTTTAAAAAGCGACCTCGCGAGGAGGAAAGTCAAGAGTCCAGGTGAAACACAGCAGAGAAAAAACGTAACAGGCAGTTAAAATGCTATAATTCATGGTGGTGACAATGTGGAAATTTGTGTCAGGTCTGAAAGTACTTCACAAGGGACTGGTGATCGCGAGGGTCAGAATGCAGGACAGGATGAGTCGGCGAGGCGAGGGTAATTAATTAATTAGTTTCCAATTAGGAGCATAACAACGCAAAACCAACGTGTACGTGGTTTTTATTCCTCTTTCCAGATCTTCTCAAAAACACAGAGCCAGTGGCTTTGACAAGCAGTGGCTCAATCAATTTACCTGGCTCAGGCATACTGAGGAAGGCATGCACTGCTATTGA